ATTTGGTGAATTTCCCTCTTTGCCAGTATTCCCAGTGTGCCTGATGTCCCAAGGCTGAAGCCTGTCTTACCCCCTCCAGAGACTGAACCTGTGTAGTATTTTTCGGGTAGCAGGGAGGGGCAGTCTCCCTTCAGCACCTTCTAGAGATGTCTATCAGATTGCTTATCGATTGCAGCTCAGCCCTTTGGACTTGCTGGGTTAGCGGCCATGAATCCAGCTGCTTTCCAGCCTCCAGCATTTTGGTACATTTGTCTTTTCCATTTGTCCCAATGAACTCATCCTGTTTTTAAAACATTTCTTTGGTGATTTGGTGGAGGTTCAAGAGGACTGGAAGGAAATCTCTCAGTTTTATTTGAAATTTCATCTTTCTTTTCTTTTTTTTTTGTTTAAACTGTACAGTATACACAACATTGTTTTAGCATTTCTGGTTTATACAGGCCAGCAGTTATTAGTGGTATTATTAAGGTTTCTTGATTACCTTCTGATTTTTATACTAATGAGCCACAGGCTGTGGCATCAAACATGGCCCTAGACCAAGGCTGATCAGCCTCGTCCTGATGTAATTTGACTTCATACTGTTTGTCAGATGCTCAGCTCTTTTTACAAAAATCTGGTTGCTATCCTAGCATATAAAGCATGAGTAGTTACTGTGTCTTCTGTGGGTGAAATGTAATGACATTATGTAAATTACACCTTCATGCAAAAGACCAATGAGAGCAAATTCAGCTTTTAGAAATATGAGTCTTTTATATACTGATGTGCCTGGTAGAAAACCTCTGCCTTTTAATCCTTGCATTTAACACATAAAAGTATTAGGTAAATGTGTGCTATTTTGCCAGGGCCCTGGTTTTTGGTCCGTTACGGCAAATGCTCTTTTACCTTAGGATTTATACTTGCTCTTTGCCTGCAGCCCTCCGCTGTCACCAGGCTCATTGCAGGCCACGTGGACAGGGAGCAGCTAGGACGTAAGGGCTCTTCTTAGGGGCTAGCTCTGATGATTGGGCCCTAAGTCCCCCGTAGGGAGATTGCTTCGTTTCTTTAGCTCATCTCAGTCCTGCAAGGAAGCAAAACAGGCTGATGGGATGAGTGGCATTGGGAGGCTGCTCTTGAGAGCTGGCTGAGAGCTAGAGGGAGCACTGTGTGCAGGGCGGAGGACTGTCAGGGCGTGATCCTCTGAGATAGGAACTAACTGAGCACGTCTGAGCAGAAGAGACCAGGCTGGGGTGGCTGCGGTGACAGCTGGGGCAGAGGGAAATGTGGTCAGTGTGGAGGAATAAGCAAGAGCCAGACAAGGTATAGCCCTGTATGCTGCAGGTTGAGACTTCAGTCTCATAGCACTGGCAGGTTTTTATTTGGTTGGTGTTAGTCTGAGGAGGAGTAACGTGCAGTAGATTACTCTTTTTTTTTTTTTTTTTTAACATATTGTTGGTTGCTCGGTGGAGAATAATCTAGAAAGGCAAGCATAGACGCAGTAGACCTATGGGGCTATTACCACAGCCTGGGAGAAAGCCGGTGGTGGTTTGATTAGGGCGGTGGCTCTGGAAGTAAAGAGAAGTGAATCCATTGGGGGTACGTTTAGTGATAGTACCCATAAGATGTACTGATGGATGTGGGCATCAAGGGGAAGGAAGGAGGATGCAGAGGCTTTGGATTTAAGCATCTGGTTAGGTTGCGATACTGTTTCCTGGACATCATATGAGTTTGGGCCCATGGTTCTCCCTTCTGGAAGCGACACTGCAGAAGCCACAGGGGTGTCATTGAATGTGTCAAGTGAAGGTGTGTTGTGAGAAAGCCGTGGAGCAGTAGGACATGATTTGGGTCTCGGGGTGCGAAGGAAACGAGAGACCGGACTGGAAGAACTGCCACAGATGGGAAGTCGGGTGGATGTTTTTAGTTTGCCCTTCTTCCTTGCTCTCGTCGCCCTGGGCTGGAGCGCTGCCCTCGCTGCCCTGATGTTCCCTTGTGGCGCAGGTCGGGAAGAGTTGTCGCTAACTTGGGCCAGCTTCCTGCTTTTGTGCGTGTGCCCGCGGGAGGCATGGCGAACAGTGGGACTCCTTGAATTTCTCCGTTCTTGAGAGCGCCTGTCCCTGGGGCTGGTTTATTATAACCAAGGTGTCAGAATTTGAAAAATAAGTTCTGGGGTAGATTTACAGATTATAATGCTAAACCGCTCATTCCCTGAGGTACTTACCCCCCACCCCCGCCCTTCCGCATCACCCCATCTGTTAGCAGAGGCACCAAAGCTGGAGTGGTGCTGGGATCCTGTGCCAGGTCCCCTGGGCGCACCTTTCCAGATGGTGTGACTCGTATCCGTGGGGGGTACAAATTCAGGAGAGGAAATGAGTCTCCCTGGAGTGCAGTCTCTATCATAGAAAAGTAGCTGAAAAATATAGAGAAGATAAAGTGAAATTTGCAGACCAGACAGAAGATTTTAATCACAAGCATATTAAGTATCATCAGAGAGAATAGGAGAGAACAGGAAAGAAACGTGAAGCAGGAGGGAGAAACCATAACCGCAAACAAAAGACAGTGGGGACAAGAGAGAGAGTTTGAAAGAAAGAACTCAGTAAGTGGTATGAGTAGTAAATATCTACAACTTGAATCAGGAAAGGGTAGAAGTAGGAAATAGGAAGAAGCACAAGATTGGGTATAAATAGTAGTATCCATTGTAATAAGGATCTCAGGAGGGAAAAAATGAACTGAGTTAATAAAACTGAAAATTTCTCAGAAATAGGGAAGGATTTAATTAAGGGTTTGGGTCAAGAGGGTTCTTAACGTACCAGAAGAGTATAAAAAGGCAAAGCTACGCCTTAACAGAGCAGGACCTTTGGAATGTGTTAAAGGGGCAAGTTCCAGTAATAATAATTATTGTCTGCCAGAGGTATATGTAAAAAGAGCCAGAAAAGTTTGATTTAAGAGTGGAAAAAGATAACAGAAACAGGAACCAAAGAAAAGCAGAATTGCTATATACATATTTAGCAGCACAAGCTGGGGAGATAAGGTAAAGGGGTGGGGGGAGAGAGAGACAGAGAGAGAATCTTAAGCAGGCTCCAGGCTCAGCACGGAGCTGGACACAGGGCTTGATCCCATAACCCTGGGATCAAGACCTGAGCCGAAAACAAGAGTCAGAGGCTTAACTGACTGAACTACTTGAGTGGGTGCCCCCAGAATTGTAGTTTTACAATCAAACAAAATGTGATAGGACGAGAGTTCGAAAACACAAGGACAGTGGATGCTCATAAAAGGAACAGCAACCCAGGAGCGTGTGATTGACCATGAACGTGCACGGCCGCAGTAGTGTAATCTCAGAAGACACACAGCAGCACTTGACGGGGTAGCGGTTGTAGGCGATGGTGGCTACTGCGGCTAGGATCCCAGAAAGCAGCTCGGGAAGGTGGGAAACCAGTGAGGAGCTGGAGGAGACCAGAGTTTGTTTGTTTGTTGTTTTTTGCGCTAGTTTTGTAGCATTCAGATTGATGGGATTATCTCCAAACGGTTTAAATATTTTGCTCCATATCCTTCTTGTTTGCATGGTTTCTGAGAAGTTGGATGTCATTCTTCCCTTTTCTCCTCTGTAGGTAAGGCGTCTTTTCCCATTGACTCCTTTCATGATTTTTTCCCTTTTTTCGCTATTCGAGATTCCTGATATACGAGTATGATATGCCTGGGTATAGTTCTGGGGATTTATTCTGCTTGCTCTTCTTGGACTTCCTGGATCTGTGATTTGGTATCAGACGTTAATTTGGGGAGACCCAGCCGCGATCGCTTGCGGTCTCGCTGCTGGTCCGTCCTCTCCTGCTCGCCCCGTTTGTGCATAGAAAGTATAGGCCTGCATTGAGTCCCTGTAACCCGTGGGTTCTTTGCCCCTCGTCTTGTTCCCCTCGGCCTTCAGCGTTGGTAGGTTCTGTTGCTGGATCCTGGAGCCCAGCGATTTCTTCCTCAGCCGTGTCCAGGCTCCCACTGAGCCATCCAGAGGCATCCTTCGTTCCATCAGTGTTTCTGATCTCTCGGTTCTTTTTGATTCTTAGAATTTACATGATCTATTGTTGCATGCTCCCCTTTTCCCAGTAAACTCTTAGCAGAGTAATTATAGGGTTTTTTGTTTTTTTTTTAAATTCCTGGTCTGGTAGTTCCAACACTTCTGCCGTATCTGCCTCTGGCGCTCACTCAGTCTCTTCAGACTGTTTGTGGCCAGTGAGTATGCCGTGTACTTTTGGTTGTAGGGTGGACATGATGTGCTGCGTGAGGGGAGCCGCCAACAGTAAGTGGGCGCTTGAGTAGTGCGGTGGAAAGTTCTGGAGGAGGGAGGTCTTCCTGTAACCCTAGGAGAACCTCTCAGGCTTTTAGTGAGCTTTCGCCTCCGTTCTGTGAAGCGCGCATGCTGCTCGGTTCCGTCCGCTCCCTCAGGCTGGGCAGGGCGGCCGGGATGGGCCGCGGTTTGGTTGTTCCTCTTCCCTCAAATGTTTCTGAGTGGTTCAACTCTGGTAATGAAAGAGTTTCTCTAAGATCGAGCCTTTTCAAGCTCAGAATGTTCTACTATATTTCGAAGTGGTTTCTTTCCTCCTCCCTATGCTGCGAGCAGGAGGGATTCTCTCTGGTACGCACCGTGAGTGCCTGGAAGCGCGGGGGGCCCCTTAGGACTGGGCGCCCCTCGAGTCATTGTCACTGAGTTGTGCACGCTGAGCCCCGAGCAGCCTGTCGGCTCCAGGTCAGGGTTTCCTCTCCTGGCATTGAGGTTGGTGCCCCCACCATTTGTGATGATGGTGAAGGGCTATTGAGTTTTCAGCTTGCTTTTCCTCGTTAGGGTGAAGCGGTGACTTCCGAGTTCTTATGTGTCGATCTAGAAACCAGAAGTCACACGTTAATGTTTCATGTTTCTGTCACTTGGGATTTTAGGTTCCAGATTTCCCTGTTGCTTGTTGTTTGGGGAAATTGGGCTGTTTAGCCTTGACTTTCCAGAATGTCTTTGCTTTCTTAATGTGCTTTTTTGCCATGTGTAGGTGGCGCAGGAGTGGATGAGCTCTCCGAACAAAGACAAGTTCTATCAGCTGCACTTACGAAAATTTCCTGCTGATTATAAAAAATACTGGGAGTTTGTGGGTAAGTTCTTTCTTCTGCAACTTGGAATGTATAATAATTGGAGCTTTCTATTTAAGGAAACCTTATTGTCATTTGAATTTTCTGGGGACATAGGTTTTCTAAGTTGAGTTTGTAACTTCTTACACAGAAGTTTATGTTTAAAGGCTTTATTAATGAGCGTAACTGCTGGGACAGTGCATGGTTTTAACCATTCTGTAATTAGGATTGCACAGGCCAGCATGCGAGCTGGACATGGAAGAGAGGGTGAGCGAAGGGGGCTTGACGGGGGTGGAGGGGGGGTGTCGCGGAACAGATGTGTGTACAGACTCGGAGCACATCTTCCCGCTGTCTGCTCATTTCATGTAGGTCTGGAACACATATCACATTTATGTGTTGTTATAAGCCAACCAAGCACTCAGAACTCTTTCTTAAAAAGTGTAAGTTGTCGGGGCGCCTGGGTGGCTTAGTCGGTTAAGCGTCCGACTTTCGCTCAGGTCATGATCTCGCGGTTCGTGGGTTCGAGCCCCGCGTCGGGCTTTGTGCTGACTGCCAGCTCAGAGCCTGGAGCCTGTTTCAGAGTCTGTGACTCCCTCTCTCTCTGACCCTCCCCTGCTTACGTTGTCTCTCTCTCTCTCTCTCTCTTAGAAATAAATAAAAAACATTAAAAAAAATTAAAAAAAAAAAAGTGTAAGTTGTCTTTCTGCCTCCATCCCTCATCCCTCGTCCATCCTACTCCATAGATTCACGTAAGATAAAAAGCATGTGTTAGGTATATTTGGGGGGAGAGGTACCTCTGTGTTCCTTGTAGGACACTGAAGTACTATTAGCCAGCAGAACAAGAAACACCACCGGCCCCCATCACTCAGACCCCCGTGAAACTACTGGTACACAGCTTCCTGCCAGACCGTTTGCTCACCTGTGTGACTTGTGTATGTGTGTATGAAGTAGGGTCATTCTACCTGTTTCAAGACATTTTTCATTCATTCAGCAGATATTTATTGACTTTATAGCACCTCATAGGATAGGATTTTAGATGCTATGTGTGTAGCTGTGAAGAAACCCTGAGATTCCTGCCTTCGTGGAGCTTGCTTCTGATGTCATTTTATTTAATACGTTGTAACTCTTTTCAGAGTTGTTAAATACCAGGGTGTTTCATGTTTGTAGTTACTCCGATGTAAGTGTGCCCCACACACCCGTGCAGCCAGTCACTTCTGGTTGGACACGCGCGTTGTTTGTAGTTGCTCAGTGTCGCAAGCACTCAGGGTGAGACTCTTTGCCAGGTCAGCACAGTTGCACATGTTAAGACTTGGCCTCTGCCTAGAAAGGAGTAGCATTTTGACTTCTACCATGGAGATGGAAAGGTGGGCATCTCCCTCATTTTGCCAGTTTAAGCATTTTCCCCCCAGTTTTATGTATGAAAAATGTATCTCATTTGAAGTCATAGGGTTTGTTCCCAAATCTTTTCTGATCATTTGCATTGTCTGAGGGGGCGCATGGCCCCCTTGTCCTGGTTGCTATCAGGGATGTGGTTTTCTTCTTAATTTGCAGGCCTTCTTATGACTTGCTCTTTTCAGTTTTTTTATTTGTGGTTCAATTTCACATGCAGTTTTTGAGGCATAGATAACTTCTACATGTATTCAGAACTATCCTATTTATTTATAAATGGTTCTGACTTTGGTCTTAGAAACTGGATAGGGGCGCCTGGGTGGCTCAGTCGGTTGAGCGTCCAACTTCAGTTCAGGTCATGACCTCACACTTCCTGGGTTCGAGCCCCGCGTCGGCCTCTGTGCTGACAGCTAGCTCAGAGAGCCTGGAGCCTACTTCAGATTCTGTGTCTCCCTCTCTCTCTGACTCTCCCCTGCTCGCTCTCTCTCTCTCTCTCTCTCTCTCAGAAATAAATTAAAAAGAAAAAAAGAAACTGGATAAATACTCCCATATTTTCCTATAGTTTTATGTTTTTAATATTTAAATTGCAAATTTATCTGGCATTTATTTTGATTGTGTGATAGAGCCACGTAGTATCTGCTCTTAATCTGGCTTCTTTAACGTGTCTGTAAAATTCATCAGTTTTATGTGTGCCTTCACTATTTTTCGTCATTATGGTAGTATTTCGTTATGTGAATATGTCATGATTTTACTGTGGGTGTTTTGGTGGTTTTTTGTTTTTTGTTTTTTTTTTTTTTTTTGATTTTACTGTGAGACATTCTTTTCAGTAGTTTTGGCCTGTGTCTCAGGTCCCCACGATCATCCCCAGGTTCAGTGATTCACTAGAGTGACTCTCAGGGATTAACATACACTCGTGCCCAAGGCTGTGACCCTTATGGTGAGAGCACGCAGAGTCAGCAGCGGGGGAGCCCCTGGGAAGAGTGTGGACGGCACCACAATCAGGCCTCTGACAGTCCTTGCCCAGTAGGGCCACACAGGGCGTCCTTAACTTTCCCAGTAATGAATCGTCACAGCATGTGGCATGTGAAATGGCACCGACTAGGGAGACTGGTTTGTTTCTTTTTTAATTAAAAAAAATGTTTTTATTGTTTATTTTGGAGAGAGAGGGAGAGTGCAAGTTGGGGAGGGCCCGGGCGGGGGGCGGGCAGAGGATCCAAAGCAGGCTCTGCACTGACAGCACAGAACCCGATGTGGACTCAAACTCTTTTTTTTCTTTAAAAAAAATTTTTTTTAACATTTTATTTATTTCTGAGAGAGACAGCGTGAGCAGGGGAGGGTCAGAGAGAGAGGGAAACACCGAATCCGAAACAGCCTCCAGGCTCTGAGCTGGGTGTCAGCACAGAGCATGACGCGGGGCTCGAACTCATGAACCGTGAGATCATGACCTGAGCCGAAGTCAGATGCTTAACCGACGGAGCCACCCGGGCACCCCATTTTTTTCTTTTTTAAATTTTTGTTTATTTTAGAGTGAGACAAAGTGCAAGTGGCGGAGGGGCAGAGAGAGAGAGGGAGACACAGAATCTGAAGCAGGCTCCAGGCTCTGAGCTGTCAGCACAGAGCCCCACACGGGGCTTGAACCCATAAACCGTGAGATCAGAACCTGAGCCAAAGTCAGGCAGTTAACGGACTAAGGCACCCAGGTGCGCCCCCCTAGTAGGGAAGACTCCGTGCCCCAGACACCCTCTGCCTAAACTACATTCCTGACTTCCAGAAGGAAAGCAGATACTTGGCATAAATCATACTCTTTCTGCACACAGTTTAGGCACAGTGAGCCATTCTCGTCAGCACATGATAATCCCCATATCCAGGGTCACAGGTGCCCAGGGCCGCCTTGGTAAGCAGACCTTTCTAAGGAGGGCAGCCTCAGGCATGCCACGTTAACCCTCCCGCAGCATTTTGTCAGCAGTGTCGCTGTGATGTACCTGTCCGGGTTTTTGTGAGGGGTTTCTTCTGAGTCCTATATCCAGAAGTGGGTTGTGGAGTCTTGGGTCCGTGTGTGTTCAGGTTGCCCAGGCGGCACCCAGCCTGCGGTACGGCACGGTGCCCCACCAGTGTGTGGGGGCCTGGCCCTCGCCACTACATTTGTGCTGATGGCCATTTAGTGTTGGGCGTTCTGCCGTGTTTCGATCGATGGCCTCTTGTGGTTTAATTTAGTCCTCTGCTTGTTATCAGTGAGCTTGGCACCTTTTTATATATTTAGTAGCTGCTTCAGTGATCTGTTTTGGGAAGATGCCTATTCAAGGTTCCTGTTAATTTTCTGTTATCTTTTTCTTATTGACTTTTACGAGTTCTTACATGATTTGGATACATGCCATTCTCTCAATTTGGCTTGTATTTTGACTCTCACCAATGTCTTTAAGAGCCTCATTTTATTTTTATTAAGAGTTTCTTTTATGTATGTATGGATGTGTGTAATATCTACACCCAACATGGGGCTCGAACTTACGACCCCAAGATCAAGAGTCGCATGCTCCCTGAACAAGCCAATCAGGCACCCCTAGAATTTTTTATCTTTAACCTGGCAAATGCATCTATTTTTTTTTTTTTTTTTTTTTTTGATGGTTAGTGTTTTGTGCCTCATTTAAGAAACCTATCCCGGCTCTAGGGCATCAGTACATTCTCTTACCATCTAGAAAAGGTGTCACAAATCGACCGCACATCCTGTTTGTGTACTGCTCTAGAGTAAGGCTTTTACAACTTTGAATTAAAGATGGTGAGAATACAACAGACACTCTATATGGCTCGCAGAGAAAAAGTTTGCGACCCATTTTCTAGATGGTTCGCTGTTTTATCAGCCTGGAATTTATTTTCATGCATGAACGAGAATGTAAGGGTCATAATTTCTTTCTTTTTTTTCCCCCCAAATGGACACTATGGTTGTCCTGGTGTCGTTTATTGGAAAAGACCATCCTCAAGCTCTCCAGTGCTGGGTTTGCCATAAATCTAGTGTCCATTTAATCTTTGATTTTTTTTTTTTTTCTGGATTCATTTCTTCTCTGTTGGACCATCTTCCTACCCTACTGCCCATATCACTTTGCCTAATTACTCTGTCCAGCTTTATAATAATTTTTTTTTAAGTTTGTTTATTTTGAGAGACAGAGCCTGTGCAAGCATGGGAGGGGCAGAGACAGTGGGTGGGAGAGAATCCCAGGCAGGCTCTGCTGTGAGCGCACAGCCCAACGTGGGGCTCGATCTCATGAACTGTGGGATTGTGACCTGAGCGAAGGAGTCAAACACTTAGCTGACTGAGCCCCCCAGGCGCCCCGGTAATGATCCTGTGATCCCCAGGGAACAAGTCCTCCTACTTTGTTTGGCCTTAGGAGTGCTTGAGCTCTTCTTGTCCCTTTGCGTTCCCATGTAAACTCTTCGGCTTATTTTCAGTAACGTATTTGTAGTTTACCGTGGAGAGGTTTTGTAGACTGTGTTTGCTTTGATTTTTGCCGGAGGAGGTGGGTCATTTGTAATTAAATTCAGTGGTTATCTCTAAAAGATACAGACCTAAAAATTTATAATAAAATAACATTTTATTGCTAAAATATTAACAGTGATTCTTCAATGTGAGGTAGGTAGTCACTATTCACATTTCCATTTTCCTCACAGAAGAGTTTTTTTCAGCCCGCTTGAAATAAGATCCAAATTAGGTTCACACTTTGACACTAGTTGAAATGTCTTTTTTGGGGCGCCCGGGTGGCTTAGTCGGTTAAGCGTCCGACTTTCGCTCAGGTCATGATCTCGCGGTTCGTGGGTTCGAGCTCTGCGTCGGGCTCTGTGCTGACTGCCAGCTCAGAGCCTGGAGCCTGTTTCAGAGTCTGTGACTCCCTCTCTCTCTGACCCTCCCCTGCTCACGCTGTCTCTCTCTCTCTCCTAGAAATAAATAAAACATTAAAAAAAATTTTTTTTAAATGTCTTTTTTAACTATAATTTTCTCCTCCTGTTTTTTTCCACTTCGTAATTTATTTGTTGAAGAAGTGACGTTGTTGACCCTGTAGAATTCCTGTCTGCACTTGGTACCGTGTGCCCCCGGTGTTGGTTGGCATGTTTGTCTGCGTGCCCTGTATCTACAGACACGATCAGATTCAAGTTTGATGTATTATTTTTGGCAAAACTGTTTCATGGCTGGTGGCATGTTCCTTTTCCAGGAGGTGCGTGACTCTCTAATTTCTTTCTGTAATATTTACAGCTGTTGATGCTGACTGCCAAGATTAATTTATTAAAGGTACAAAGTGCTGATATTTTTATTTGGTCATTTTTTCATTTATTAGCTGGAATAGTTTTTTTTTAATTATTTTTTTTTAATGTTTATTTATTTTTGAGAGAGAGCACGTGAGCAGGGGAGGGGCAGAGAGAAAGGGAGACAACAGAATCCGAAACAGGCTCCAGACTCTGAGCTGGCTGTCAGCACAGAGCCCGATGCAGGGCTTGAACCCATGAACTATGAGATCATGACCTGAGCCGAAGTCGGACACTCAACCGACTGAGCCACCCTAGTGCCCTAGAATAGTTCTGTAAAGAGAAATTTTCCTATGTGTTTGGTTACTCTGTGGTATATACTTCATAAAGAAAGGTAGAAATGTTCTTGATTCTTGACCAGTTTTCAAAATAATGAGTTAATTCACTGCAAGCACTGGCATTGACCAATGTGCTTTTTAAAAAATTTCATAAATGCACGAACAAGTGCATACTTGTATTCCTATCCCTTGTAGTTCAAGCCCTTTAGCCAGGACCCTGCAAGTCTTTGAGAGTTGACCTGCTATCTGATAGGACCAGTATCATCTCTGTTCTTTTATCCCGTATCTGAACTTGCAGTTGCCTAAGTAGCCTTAGCATCTTTGTAGAAGAAAATAGTGTTTCAAGACTAATTTAATATGAGGAGCATCTGGCTGACGCTTGATTTCAGCTCAGGTCATGATCTCGTGGTCATTGAGATCGAGCTCCGCATTGTCGGGCGTCGGGCTCTGCACTGGCGTGCGGGGCCTGCTTAAGATTCCTGCGCCCCCTGTCCCTCCGCGTCCCCCCTCCCCCGCTGGTGCATGCACACACACCCGCTCTCTAGCTGTCAAAGAAAAGAATAATATAATACGATGTAATGATACACCGTACATATGAACAAGTAACATGTAACCATAAGAAAAGGTTGAAAAAAAGATTGGAGAAAATTCAACTAAAAGAAGACTTGTTTAGCTCTGTTAATATCAAACTAGACTGTAAGACAAAAACATTATACAAAAAGGGAATCTTTCATAATAAGCTTAGTTCAACCAAAGATATGACAATTCACAATATACATATATCTGAAAAAATATATAAGAAAAAATGATAGGAGTTTATATTTTTACACATATTCAAGAGTTTGAACCATTAAATCAAAGGTGAATTTTATTTGTATTTCCCTGATGAGGAGGGATGCTGAGCATCGTTTCATGTGTCTGTTGGCCATCTGGATGTCCTCTTTGGAGAAGTGTCTGTTCATGTCTTCTGCCCATTTCTTCACTGGGTTGTTTGTTTTTCGGGCGTGTAGTTTGGTGAGTTCCTTATAGATTCTGGATATTAACCCTTTATCTGATATGTCATTTGCAACTATCTTTTCCCATTCCGTTGGTTGCCTATTAACTTTCTGGGTTGTTTCCTTGGCTGTGCAGAAGCTTTTAATCTTGATGAGGTCCCAACAGTTTATTTTTGCTCTCGATTCCCTTGCTTTTGGGGATGTGTCAAGTAAGTTGCTGCGGTGGAGGTCAAGGAGGTTGTTTCCTGCTTTCTCCTCTAGGGTGTTGATAGTTTCCTGTCTCACATTCAGGTCCTTTATCCATTTTGAGTTGATTTTTGTGCATGGTGTGAGAAAATGATCTAGTTTCATTCTTCTGCATGTTGCTGTCCAGTTCTCCCAACACCATCTGTTAAAAAGGCTGTCTTTTTTCCATTGGATATTCTTTCCTGCTTTGTCAAAGATCAGTTGGCTGTATACTTTTGGAACCACACTGAGATACCACCTCACGCCAGTCAGAGTGGCTAAAATGAGCAAATCAGAGAAGTCTAGATGCTGGCGAGGATGTGGAGAAACGGGCACCCTCCTACACTGTTGGTGGGAATGTAAACTGGTACAGCCCCTCTGGAAAACAGTGTGGAGGTTCCTCAGGAAACTAACAATAGAACTCCCTTATGACCCAGCAATAGCACTGCTAGGAATTTACCCAAGGGATACAGAAATGCTGAGGCATAGGAGCACATGTACCCCAATGTTCATAGCAGCACTCTCCACAATAGCTAAAACATGGAAAGAGCCTAAGTGTCCATCAACAGATGAATGGATCAAGAAGATGTGGTTTATCTATACCATGGAATACTACATGGCAATGAGAAACAATGAAATCTGGCCATGTGTAGCAACATGGATGGACCTTGAGGGTGTTATGCTGAGCGAAATAAGTCAGGCAGAGAAGGACAAATACCATATGTTTGCACGTATAGGAGGATTAGGAGGAACTTGACGGAGGAACAAGGGGGAGAAGAAGGGCGGAAATGGTGGGGGAAAGGGAGAGAGGCAAACCATGAGAGACTCTTGAATGCTGACAAAAACTGAGGACTGATGGATGTGGGGGGGAGGGGGGGATGGGCATGGAGGAGGGCACTTTGGGGATGAGCACTGAGTGTTATGTAGAAACTAATTTGACAATAAACTATTTGTAAAAAAAAAAAAAAAAAAAGGTGAATTTTAAAAAAACACACAACATGAAAAGAAACACAATCTAAGTAAATGAACCTAATTATATATTGTTTATTACCTTTTGTCTTGGTTGAATACTTCTACTTTTTTCCTCCATTTTAAAATTTCTTTTCATTTTTTCTTCTTGTTAATTTAGAAATTATACCTCAATTTATACTTCTTTTGCTGTTTTAGAACAGGTGGGCTAAAACTGACAACATGCACCCTTGATTTCTCAGAGTCTGTAGTTTTAATAGATATTTTAAGTGTCTCCACTGATAAGGCAAAACCTTTAAACGACTAATGTATCCCCATGCCACATTGTATGCTCTTGTTATGTATTTTTGTGTTTTTTTTTTTTTAGTTTACTCTGAGAGTGCAGGCGGGGGAGGGGTAGAGAGGGAGACAAACGCAAGCAGGCTCCGCGCCGTCAGCACAGAACCCCGTACAGTGCTCAGACCCCAGGACCCTGAGATCATGGCCCGAGCCGAAGTCTAGAGCGGACACTTAACCAGCTGAGCCACCCAGGCGCCCCTTAATTGTGTTTTAAACTGCATGAAATTCAGTCTGTAACCCCCAGGACGGTCCTTTTTTGTCCCTCGATTCTACCAGTTTGTATGCTGCTTCTCTCCCTGTGCTCTGTCTCTGGTGTGTGTCCGTATCTTGGGAAAGTTACTTATAAACATAATTTGAGGCCAAGGACGATACCGACTTCTTCCAGAGAGGATTTCCCTTTGCTGCTTCCAGGCTTCTGGGGGCACCTACACTGGGGGGTCATCTTAATGCAGTTCAAGGGATTGGGATTTTCTGGGGCCCCCCAGGTGTTTGGAAGCCGGGCCGCAGCCCGTGTCAAGGTGGGTTTGGTTCTACTTCATCCTTGGGTGTGGTCCTGAGTCCCTCATGGTCCCAACCTGAAGCGCGTGAGGCTACCAGGGTCCCCGTTCTCTGGACTCCGGTTTTTGTCTTTTTAGTCCAGCAAGGCCGTTCCAGGTACCGCTTGGCCTCTTGCTGCCCCTCCAGGCAGTTCAGATGTTTCTAGAGGAAATACTGGGCTGACTGCGGTGGATCTCAGCACAGTAATTCTTCACTGTGGTATTTCGTCCCTGATGCTTTCAAACAGGTATTTCTTACCTGTCACGGTTTAAAATCTTGTTTTGATTTAGTGCTTCCGTCTACCTGCCCAGTGCCTCATATTTTAGTTCAGTATATTGTTGCTGGACCTGGCGGTTGGTACTGAACTTCTTTATCCTAGGGCTTGCTCTGTGTTCCCAGCCCTGGAAGTTTACAGCAGTCCTTTCCCCCTTGTTTGAAATGCCAACAATAGGCTCAAAATTCTTACATGTTCTTGGACCGGTTTTTAGAGTTTCTCCTAGGATTTTGAAAATGAACAAAAGTGAAAATTTCTTGGTTAAAAACTAAAACTACAAGGAAAGGAAATCTGTTAACTACTTTTGAATATTACAGTTTTACTTATTTTGGCTTTTTAGCAGTTGTTAAGAAACACTTTATAACACTGTATAATCAGTATTTGAGCACGCAGACTGGCTCACTCCTCTCATTTTGAAGCACGGTACACAGCTTGCTGGTGCTGTACGCTTGCTGGGACTTAGTGCAAGGGCTTCATATCCTCTAAGTTAATCTTATTTAAAATAATTCTGTTAGAATAAATGCCGACTTCTTCTTGTTTTATAGTTCATCTTGAGGAATGTGAACTAACTAAACAGCTGCATCCAAAGGAAAATGATTTGGTGTTTTTGGTTCTTGAAAATGGAGAGGACACAGAGGGAAATCGCATGCCGGATTTCAACGAATATTACTGCGGTTATGTTCATAAATTTCGCCGCACTTCAGTCAGTAAGTAAATAATGAGACAGTACAGAGAAGTCCATCAGCTATAAGCTCATCTTTTTTTTTTTTTTAATTTTTTAAAATTAAAAAAATTTATTTCTGAGAGAGAGACAGAGAGAGACAGTGTGAGCAAGGGAGGGTCAGAGAGAGAGGGAGACACAGAATCTGAAGCAGCCTCCAGGCTCTGAGCTGTCAGCACAGAGCCCAATGCGGGGCTTGAACCGACAAACCGCAAGATCATGACCTGAGCCGAAGTTGGTTGCTTAACCAACTGAGCCACCCAGGAACCCCTATAAGCTCATCTTTTAATTCCCCTCTGAGACGTACTTTACTGGCTACGTGTTTGTTACACACATACCAGACATGTATTTGCTGGGTTGATTACTTGCCATTCAGAGTCATTTTTTAGTTTTTCTAGATTCATCTGCAAAAGGCACAGCATTTAACTGCTCTAGACTTACGATTTAAAAGCTGTCTTTTGGGGACACCTGGGGGGCTCAGTCAGTTAAGCGTCCGGCTTCAGCTCAGGTCATGATCTCACGGTTCGTGGGTTTGAGCCCCACGTGGGGCTCTGTGCTGACAGCTCAGAGCCTGGAGCCTCCTTCGGATTCTGTCCCTTTCCTGCTCATGCTGTCTCTCTCAAAAAAAACAAAACAAAAAAAAAGAAAACATAAAAAAAAAAAAAGCTTTCTTTTGTAATGTCCTCTTTTTCCAGTACCTTCGTTCATATCATTGCAATTATTATTAAACTGTGCAGACCATCTGTCTTTTATATCTTAAATCACATTCCAGCCTTGGTTTTTTGGCTAATTATCAATGAGAAGACCAAACATGTAAGTCGCTGTCAGGCACCTTGAAGGGTTTGCTGTTTCCATCACTCTCATCCCTTGTGTAGTAGGGGCTTTTCTCGTGGGAGGAGCAGAGCAGAAGGAATGTTAGGTTGATAGAACAAGGACCTACTGTGTGCCGGGCGCCAGGCCTTGTCCCTCCTGCCCACATTCATCATCTCCCCAAGGCCTTGCAGAGCAGTCAGAATTCTGTATTCCCGCTGTCGGGATGTGAGGGCTTGGGGATGTAGTGTGACTTCTCTAAGGTCATTCTCACCGTTAAGTGGTGGGCCCGGGAGAGGAACCTCCGACTGTTGGACCACAGGGTCGTCCACGTTCTTTGTCACCTGGCAAGTGGCCTTTTTAACATTGCTGCTTTCTTAGTCTCACTTAATGTGAAGAGAACATGATTTCTTTCCTTCACTCACTTTTTCCATCAAGTCTTAAAAACCGCTCAGCGTTCGGCGTGCCACACTTTTATCATCGCTGGGGCCCTGCACACTCCTTCCTGCTGAAGGCATCGAGGGGAGCAGCGGCAGGGGACGTGGCTTAATCTGAGCTTTTCACTCTCACAAGTGGTGACATTAGCTAAATTTATATTCCTAAAATAGTCTCCTTCAGACTCCTCAAGCGTCCCAACTATCTGACATCTCCGTGTGCAAACCTGTTAGACAAAAGACCAAAAAGAAACACTAGATTTTCTGCTTGACCTCTCCACTCCTCTGTTTTTCCATCTCCGTGAGTGAGATGCTCTTTTTTTTTAGTTGCTCAGGCCCGAAACCTCAGTCATCCTGGACCCTTTCGTTCTCTCACACCCTCCATGTAGCCCATCAGCAAATATTCTTCCTTTGCAGGTGTCTAAAAGCCACGCCCCACCTCTGCTGCCACATTCTGGGCCACGCCACCGTTAGCTTTTACCTAGGTTACTGCGGTGGCCCCGGGGGCGGCCCCGTGCTTCTGTGCTTTTTGCGGGGCGCTTTATCCCTCATTCTGCAGGGAGAGGGATTCTTCTCGTGTGAGCCCGAGCACCTTGCCCAGCGTCACAGAGCCTCACTCAGGGTGGGTCCAGAGCCAGTGTTGTGGCCTGCGGAGCCATCTAGAACGGAGCCCCATTTTACTCTCTGACTCTTGTGGTCCGGGTCCCCCTGCCTCTCCTTCCAGCCATGTGAGGCTTCTCCCCGTTCCTGAGATACTCCAGGCCCAGCTCTGCTTCTCCGGCCTCACGGGTGCCGATTCATTGCCAGCAGCTCCCTTTCCCCATGTAAGGCTGTGGCGTACTCCTTCATTTCAAGTGGCTGCCCAGACACCATCTTACCAGGAAGCCTTCCCAACTCTCCTGTCTACAGCGACACCTGCCTGACGTGTTTGTGTGGTTATCTGTGTCCCTCTTATAGAAAATAAGCCTCTTGAGGACAGGATCACTGTCTGGTTCTCAGGAGGCGGTCAGTAGGCTTGTGAGTGAGCGACTTAAATAATCCATCCTATGAAACACATGAGTTATAAAGCACATTATTCTGAAGAACTTTGTAGCTGCACAGCATCAGTCACTGGTCACTGAAATTGCTTTTTCTCTTTCTTGATAATAGTGCGTAATGGGAAATCTGAGTGTTCCCTTTCCATCCAGACTCAAGATAATTTGATGCTCAATTTAAACGAACTTGTGAAATGCACTGTCATCAGTTCTCTGGTAACTACACAAAGGAAGTTGAAAGCCATGTCTTTGCTGAGTGGACGGAACCAACTGGCCAGAGTTGTTCTGAATCCAAACCCCATGGACTTCTGTACAAAAGATTTACTAACTACAACGTCCGAGAGAATCGTGAGTGATGATTTAATAAAAACGGAAAGTCAGAAAATTGCATGTCAGAATGTCAGAGTGTCGTGTTTTTATCCGCTGTGCATATTCCTGTTGTTGTGACAAAGACGTACCACTGTGCATGCACAGTGACATTGTTTTGGACTTAATTTTCTTTAATGTGGCAAAGTATGCACTACGTTACTCAGCTTACCTCAGAAAAAAGGCATAGTACAGTAAAGAATCGAAGTTGTGCTCAAAGACCAGCATTCAGCTGCTGGGTGATTATGGTTCAGAAGTAGGACTAAGTTAATAGAGTTTACGCGGCACATGAAAGATGGATGGAGAATTGACGCGTGTGGTTGCAGGTATGCAGGTGGCGTGGCCACTTTGCGAGAACATGTATTTTCTCCCTGTAAGCGCTGTGTGCTGGTTCCAGGAAGTCACCATGGAGGAGGGCCCGGGGAAGGCAGAGTGCTAGGGCCGCCGCCGTGTGCTAGGCCCTGCCTGTGCAGCGTCGTGCGCCCACCCTGCCCTCCAGGGGACCCCCGATGTCCTGCGTGGCTCCAGTGGAGGCTCCGAGAGCTTAGGGGGCTGGAGACCTAGCTTTTGGGCAAAACTGGCGTTGAGACTTAGATCTGACCCATGATCTGTGCTCTTTCATTATAGCGCTGGAGTTAGGAAAGAAAGTCTTGGAATGTTTTTTTACTGTGTAAGGAAAGAATTAACTAAAATGGGAAGAACCAAAGAATAAATAGGGGGAAGTGTAGAATGATTTTTCGAGATCATCTTTGTACGATTCACAAACAGAAGTACTGCTGCAGTACTTGTAGGTGGATGGAAGCCTGTAGACACTCCTGAGTAACTTTCTTTATAGTAGTCAAAGTGGTTTTTTGTTCTTTTTTTTAAATTTTTAAATTATTATTATTTTCATTTTTTAAAATGTTTATTTCTGAGAGAGAGAGAACGTGCGAGCAGGCGAGGGGTAGAGCGAGGGGGAGACACAGAATCTGAAGCAGGCTGCAGGCTGTGAGCTGTCAGCACAGGGCCCGATGTGGGGCTCGAACTCACGAACTGTGAGATCATGTCCTGGGCTAAAGTCGGATGCTTAACCGACTGAGCCACCCAGGCGCCCTGGAAGTGGTTCTTTAGATTAACGGTGACTTTGGAGTCTTGCCCAATCATAACCAAAGCTTCTGTCTGATAAAGATTACAAGACATTCAAATGAAGGTTTTCCATTATCTTCCTCTCCCGTGCCACTCCACGAAGAGCAACTCATTCTCTCTCCTGTCCTTTGCACAGATTGCCTACCTGAAAGATTTCAATGAAGACCAGAAGAAAGCGATAGAAACTGCATATGCCATGGTCAAACACTCCCCATCAGTTGCCAAGGTCTGTTTGATTCATGGACCACCTGGAACAGGAAAATCAAAAACTATCGTTGGCCTTCTGTACCGCCTGCTGACAGAGGTAGAGTGCGTGAGGGTGCTGGTGCCGTTAGCCGACCGTGTCGTTGCCCTTATTTAACTGACACGTGCCAACAGCTGCACTCGTGGTGTAGCTCTTCAGTACTGCACGGAACTTCACCAGAGAAGGAGGTTAGCAGGAGGAGAGGAAGTTACAAGTAACTCTTCGTTATCTCAGATTGGTGTCCTCTGTGACACTAACCAGAAGGGCCGGGATGGTGGCCTTCTGGCTTCACTGTGGGTCACGTCTAATGCAGAGGAACTGTGTGGAATGTATTCCCGGGCTATGTTTTGGTTGGATTGAGTACAGAGTAGCCTAAGTGGCTAGTGCGGGGAGGCTCAGAGAAGCTATGACAAAATGTTACACTTAGTTGTAATTTTAATGTCCAGGTAAGATGTAAGTGCTATTATGTGTTTTCAAGTATTTAAAAAAGGGGAACGTTGGAATGTACGTGGAAGTAGAGAAAACTGGAAAAATCTGTAACAGAGCTCGTCATATTTCTTGCTGTGTGTCTGTTCTGTGTGTGTGTGTGTCAAACTGTAGAGCCAGAGGAGGGGGCACTCAGATGAGAACTCCAACGCCAAAATCAAACAGAACCGTGTCCTCGTGTGTGCGCCTTCCAACGCGGCTGTTGACGAACTTATGAAAAAAATCATCCTTGAATTTAAAGAGAAGTGTAAAGACAAGAAGAACCCTATGGGTATGATACTTCTCTGGGCTTCTAATCTCTTTTCCCTTTAGTTTTTATTGTTTTGCACGGACAGCTTTGAATGCCAGCCAGTTGTGGTAATAACTTCTGCTTGGGGCTGTGGACCGTATGTTCTCATTGATTCATTGGGCAGATTTTACTGAGCATTTACTTTGTACCAAGGCGCTGTGCTAAGTGCTGAGGTTTCAGCAGGGAGGCTTTCCGGGAGGCAGTAATGAGGAAGCGGATCAGTGGGCAGTTAGGGCACAGAGCCATACATTCTGGAAGAGCAGTAAAACACAGATACTTGCTGACATGTTAGAGCGGCCCTTGGTTTAGTCACAGGAGAGTTAGAGAAGACTTCTGGGGGACATGCCATCTGAGATGAAACCGACAGAGCCATCGGGAGTTAGCCGTGGGAACGGATTGGGGTGAGGGGGTGCGGGGAGCTCTAGAAGTTACACCAGAGGCGAGAAAGCCTCACACGCAGTCTAGCTAGACCATAGTTCGCTGCACGCAGGCGCGCTTTGGGTGTTTGGTTACTGTACTGTTTCCAGTGCCATCTAGGCAGTGAGGAAAGTGCTGCTTCATGAAACCTGATTCACTGGGGAGGTGTGAGCGCTGTATGGGGTTTTGATGTCCAGCGTCCTTCATAGGATAGATAGGTCAAGGTCAGGAGTTTATAAAAGCGCTGGTCTGAGCGTAGGAACACTGTGAAGCAAACATGTTGGGTTCAAGGAGTTGCGCATCTTCAGTGTTGTAGGTGGTGCCAGATTCTTCTCGGAAGTGGGTGTGGCGGTGGACGCGGCCGGGAGCAGCTCCCACACACGTGCAGTGCCGTGGTTGTAACACGCCTCCGCCTTCCCTGACTGGCCGCGTGAGGGCGGCACTTGGGCGTGCGGGGACAGGGCGACAGGGCCGGGCCCAGCCAGCCAGGCTGCAGTTTGAGCTTGCTTAGAGCATGAAGGCTTCTGGACGCAGGGGAGAGCTGTGTTCTTTCACGTGGCCTTCGTTTTCCGCTCTTGTCACTCCTTCCAGCCACCCTGAGCGTCCTGAAAGCAAGGCCTTGGACACCTTTGCCGTCAAGTGTGATGCTGGTTTCTGGGGTGTAGCATTCACCTTTAACGGGACGAGGTTTCCCTTTTCATTACTTTCTCTGGTGAAGGACTGTTGAAGTTTATTGCATGTGTTTTTCTTGTTGCATCTCTTCAAATGACAACGAAGCCGTGTTCTTTAATCTGTTACTGTGGTAAATTACAATGTTTTTCTTTCTTTTTTTTTTTTTTTAAATGTTTTTTTAATTTATTTCTAGGAGAGAGAGAGAGACAGCGTGAGCAGGGGAGGGTCAGAGAGAGAGGGAGTCACAGACTGAAACAGGCTCCAGGCTCTGAGCTGGCAGTCAGCACAGAGCCCGACGCGGGGCTCGAACCCACGAACCGCGAGATCATGACCTGAGCGAAAGTCGGACGCTTAACCGACTAAGCCACCCAGGCGCCCCAATTACAATGTTTTTCTAATGTTAAAATATCTTTGGTTCCTAGAATAAGGCCAACTTGGTCAGGTATTCTTATTTTTTAACGTGTTGCTAGATTGCTAATGTTTTATTTAGGATTGTAAAATTAGCACTCTTCAGTGAGGCTGGCCTGCGATTTTCTTTGTCATATCTTTGGCTGGTTTTAGTTACACTGACCTTAAAAGGAATTAGGGAGAATTTTTGTTTATTCTTTGGAATGTTTTATATATGAAAGAGATTATTCCTTGAAGATTGATTTGTTTATAGGGTTTGTTTATTGTCTTTTTTTTTTTTTTTTGACAGATGGGTAAGTTTCTGTATGTTGTCTGAACGCCCTTAACTGTTATGTATCTATTCAGGGTTTATATATATATATATATATTTTTTTAATGTTTTTTACTTTTGAGAGAGAGAAAGTCAGCGCAGAGGGGCAGAAAGAGAGGGAGACACAGAATCTGAAGCAGGCTCTAGGCTCCGAGCTGTCAGCACAGAGCTTGATGTGGAGCTTGAACTCACGAACTAAGAGATCATGACCTGAGCCGAAGTTGGATGCTTAACCGACTGAGCCACCCAGGCAACCCAGGGTTTCTATATTTTTACTGAATTTGGCTAATACATGTTTTTCAAGAAAAATTAACATCTCCTTTTAGGTTTTTGAAAACATCTTGGCATAAAGTTGCTTATTTGTAGTTGAATTTTAAAGATCCCAACTGTATTTTGATTGGGTCACCTTTGTCATTCCCTGTTTTATGTATTTAGTCTCTCAGTTCACACATGGCATGGGCGGGCCTGTGGTTGGAAAGTCCCGGGAGAGAATTTAGTTTTTCCCAGCTAAGCCCATTCACTTTTTTTCTTCCTCCCACCTCATCTGGGCCCTTTTCCTTTCTAGTGACTTTAAAATCCAAGCCTCCGTGGTAAAATTTCTGCATCTTCACTGGAATGGTAGTTTTGCCAATGTAGACATTTGGCAAACTCTCTGTAGAACTAAAGATTTTTAAGTCTCTGTATTCTATTGAATGTAAAGTAAAAAACAAATTCCAAGCACCCATACTATGCCAGCCCCAGTGTATCCTGTTCCCTTGGGGAAGCCACAGCAGCTCAGGGTCTTCGAGCTCTGATGTTTAGCTTTCTCTTTGTTTCTGGCCCCTAGGAATTTCTCTTCCACCTCTGTGAGCTCACCCTATACTTTAAAGGATGTGTTACAATTTATGGAGCATTTCTAGGTATTTATCGAGGGTGAATTTCCAGGTAATTTCATCTACCTTTCTCATGGAAACACAAGAAAGTTGGCAGTTTTGGAAACCTTCAAGTAAATGTTAGCCAGAGTAGAGGCTTCACGTATAGAACACTGAGCTGAACTGGGAACAAAAGTATGTTGTAGAGACCAGTTTAATGAGTCATTCATTCATTACCTGTCCTCAACCTGCAGGCCGCTGTTGGAGCCAGTGGCCAAAACAAAACCGTGTTCACTGGCAGGAGATTAACAATAAACAAATAAGTGTGTGATGTATCAGATTCAGATAAGTGCTGATAAACTCTGCATGATCGCTGTAACTTAGCCCAATGATGGAGTGGGTGATGTTTAGATTAAATAATATATAAACTGTGGTAATGTAAATTAAAAGTGTGGGTAATAACAAGCCATTTAAGTGATGTTTATAGCTTTTGGAAGTACCTGCTCCAGAGTTGCCAGCACCTTGTGTCCCTTCGATTCTGGAGTTAGCAGTGTGATGGGGGTAGAGAGTTCCAGAAACGTTCTGCAGAGAAAGATTTGATTATAAGTATGATTCTGTCTTGGAAGGTCAAATATGTGTTAATATCTGAAAGTCTTTATACATCTGAAATATCCTGTGGTTAAGAAATCTATCTTATTTGGGGCACCTGGGTGGCTCAGTCGGTTAAGCGTCCAACTTCAGCTCAGGTCATGATGTTGTGGTTCGCGGGTTCCAGCCCCACATTGGGCATCCAGCCTGCTTTGGATTCTGTGTCTCCCTCTATCTCTGCCCCTCCCCCACTCATGCTCTGTCTCTCAAAAATGAATAAACGTTAAAAAGAAAATTAAAAAAAAAAATCTATCTTATTTTAACTCACCTTTGCCCAAATGTATTTTATTGTGAAAGGTACAGAACATAGTTTGAGAAGCGCTAGTATAATTGAATCTCAACTTTGTAATGTACTGTTTATGCAACCTCTGGAGCTTTTATTAGGTAGAAATGGTAACTACTTGCCTTATAGAGTGGTTGTGAAGCATATTTAATGTATATGAATCCGCTGCTGTTCTTTCAGGTGTCTAGATTGATAATTAATCTTAGCTCCCTTCTCTGATTGTTAGTATACTTGCTTAGAAATGGATATTATGGGACCTCCTGGGGGGCTCAGTCCATAAAGTGTCCGGCTCTCGGTTTCAGCTCAGGCCATGATCTCATGGGTTTGTGAGTTCGAGTCCCGAATCGGGCTCTGTGCTGACAGTGCAGAGCCTGTTTGGGATTCTCTCTCTTCTCCCTGTGCCTCTGCCCCTTGCATGCTCATGCTGTCTCTGTCTCTCTCTAGATAAATAAATAAACTTAAACAAAAAGAAATAGATATTATGTGCAGAAAGTGGCAATGTCCTTATTATTCTCTAAGTATGATTTTTTTTATCAACAGGAAACTGTGGAGATATAAATTTAGTACGTCTGGGTCCAGAAAAGTCTATTAATAATGAGGTCCTAAGATTTAGTTTGGACAGCCAAGTTAACCACAGAATGAGTAAGTACTAATTGAGGCACATACTGTTATTTCTATTTCCCTTTATACGATAGGTGATGTCTTGGGCATTGAAGGTAATTTGGAGACACTTGAAGTAGAGTAGATTTGAGAACTAGTTTTTCTTCTCATTGTGTGTGCATGTGTGTGCATGTATGTGTCAGAGTTAGCTTCTCATTCTCTTTTCTTTTTGTTTTGTTTTTAAGAAAAAGACTTACCTTCTCATGTTCAGGAGATGCATAGAAGAAAAGAATTTCTAGATCATCAACTAGATGAACTTTCCCGCCAGCGTGCTTTATGCCGAGGTGGAAAGGAAACACAGGTATCGCAAATTTCTTTATTACTGGTTTTCTAACAGCTGACAGCTATGTAAGTAGTGATGAGTATTTGATACCATTCTTTTATTGTGGAATAGCATAATTGATGTGTGAAGATGTATACAAGAGCGGTATGCCTTATATCAGGGATTAACAAATTTTTTCTAAAAAGTAAAAGCAGTAAATAATTTAGACTTTGCAGGCCATATGGTCTCTGTGTCGACTGCTCAACTCTGCTGTTATCGTACAAACGTAGTGATGGATACATATACAAGTGGATGTGGCTATATTCCAATAAAACTTTATTTACAAAAACAGATGGTGAGTTGAATTTGGCCCGCAGGCTGTAGTTTGCTGTTGCCTTCCAAATATTAGAGTTGTAGTGAATTTATTAGGTGTCTTTCAGTGGCAAGTTAAAGGAGTCCAAATTAGACAAAAATGGGAATTCACTAACTCACGTGCCTAGGAACTCTGGGCACTCCCAGCGCAAGGCTGGGTCCAGAGGCTCGGGTGATGTCCTTTCCCCACCTTCCCCTCGATTTGTTTTTCTGTGCGTCAGACATTTCTTACCTTGGAGAAGATAAGTGCCAGCGTCTCTGGGCATCACTGTCCCAGCTTAGAAAACCTGTAGGAAGAGAAGGGACCGCTTTCCGCTCCCCGAGCATCGGTGCCACGGAAGGCGTCTGGTCAGTCCCTGGATGTGCAGGCAGCTCTGCTCTGCTCCCTGTTTTTAAATAAAAGGCCTGGGGGCCGTAGTTCACCAGGCCTGCATTGTGTGCCCATCACTGGAGCTAGAGGAACGACTGGGATGGGATTGAGAACCTGTTTGAACCACTCGGAGGTCAGGGGAGGGAAGAGCCCCAGGAGTCACACTGCTCAGCACACAGACCTAGCGCCCAGGGGACACACCGAACGGAATGGAATCTTGTGCCTTGTGACGGATTTGTCAGCTTAACACCGCAGTGGAGTTCGGGGCCAGACCACAGAGAAAGTGATGCAGAGACTTTGACCTCGCACAGGCCCTGGAGGAAGTACACGTCGCTCCTCAAGGGGCCACACAAGGAGTCAAGGCAGAGTGCAGGCAGAAAGGCAGGACCTGGGGGGCATGCCTTTTTTCGGGCCCGTGGGTGGGGGACCTTTGAGGGTCCTGGGCTAAGGCTGGATCCATCCACTCAGGCCAGAAGAGCAGGGAGAAGCGCGAGGGGGTGCGTAAGTGCACAGGCGCTGGTGACCAGGGCCGCCGGGGACATCCTGTCGGAGCCACCACCTTCCATCACCCGGGCTGCTCCTCTCCTCCCTGGGGCCTGCGCTCCTATGAGGACCCACATCAGGGGAAGGGCTTTGCGGGCTGTGGGGACAGAGCGGCCGTGAGGCCCCAGTCCCGTGGCGCAGCTCGGGGGCCAGGATTCTGCTGGTAAAGAGAGAACAGCCGGGGTGAACGGGTTACAGTGTCCTCTGCAACATAAGGCAGCCGACCGTAGAGCATTTTAAAACACTCGGTTTAATTGTAATGGTTGCACTCTAATTTTTTCCAGAGGCAAGAATTAGATGAAAAAATTGCAAAAGTTTCAAAAGAGAGGCAGGAACTAGCTTCTAAAATTAAAGAGGTAAGTGGTTCACCTGTTGCATTTTCCAGGATTTTCCTTCTTTCTTTGTGTTATCATGAATTATTTCCCACAGCCGATGGACTTTTCTCAGTTGCATTTAAAACTTGGTTGATTGTGAAAACTTTTTTAAAATACGAAAGTAGAGAAAATGGCGCAATTACATGTACGTTTGCCTTTTTATTCCTTTCCCCTAATAATTCTTATTGTCACCTGAGACTTCTAAGAAAGGTGATGATAAATTGTCTTCTCCTTTTCTATGTCTGGGTAGGTATTGAAAAACCTCATTAGGTGCTCTTCTCCCGCCACCGCAGAGCTGCTTATGATAATTATCATCAGATGAATAGTTAGCAAAAGTAGATGTGAAGTGTTTTCCTTATTAAAAAAGAAAATTTGTGGCCACCCAGGGATGCCAGAAAAGAAAAAAAAGGAAGAGAAAGGGAAGTCTTCTGTCTGGATTCAAGTAGAGTGACGGTGGCTGGGGTTTGGCATAAGGTAGTACAAGCACGTGCTTTGCAGTTGGCTGAAAGCATAAACTTGTCATATTTGTTTTTGATCATAAGGATCCTTTTATAACGTGTAGCTTTTTCCCCAGTGTTCTTTGGTTATAAAAATACCAGGGAGCGCCTGGCTGGCTCCGTTGGTAGAACACATGACTGACTCTTCATCTCGAGGCCATGAGTTCGAGCCCCACGCTGGGCGTAGGGATGACTTAAAAATAAAATCTCTTTAAAATCAACAACCTTTAGATTGATCAAAGCCAGGATGAGCCAGACCTGTGTCCCCCTCCCCAGATTCCAGCCCTAAAAACCAGCGGGGGTCAGAGCAGGTCACGGCAGCTGGTGACGTCATTAGTGTTTTTTAGGCTGAGATTTTTCTCTTGAATGTATTACCAGTCTCCCCTCCAAGGCTCAACAAATAAACTTTTTTGTGTGGGTTTTGCTGCTCCCCACTGGGTTCTGTGGGCCACTGAATTAATTGCACCTGGCAGTGTTCCTCAGCAGGCAGCTGAGAGGTGTGTGAAGGGGACAGTGCCTTCACGTGCGCCCCGAGGGCCACGGCTGCCACCCTCTGAGGTTCACACACGTTCCTTGGGAGTCCAAGTCCACAGCTGAGCAAATCACACGTACAGGGATGAGCGCCTTTATACGGACGGCACCAGGCTCAGCAGATCAGTGCTAAGAACCCTGGTTTATTAGCTGGGACACTAAACGGTATGTGCTGTGAGGTGTCATTCCCAGTCCAGCTCCATCGCGCTGTGTGACAGGTGGACTGAGGTGGTTGTCGTCATTGCGCAAGCAGAGTGCTCTGCATTTTCACAGGCGTCCCTGTGGGCACAGGCCTTTGAGAAAGAAGGAACAGCACCACACGTACTTAACTGACAGGGAAATGTGTGTTCTAGCTGAGCTCTGACCCCAGTTTAACTCCGACAATTGCCTCACAGCTCTCTCCGCGCATTCTGATACCTGCCCACGTACATCTGCTGTAAGAGTTATAATCTGCTTTGACCAAATCAAGCCTGAATAAATTTTTCCTGATGTGCTTGTTTCGTGTTCTGAGTGTTCTCTATGGTGGTTTCTGATTACCTGCTATTTCCTAGATCGGAGGTTCCCCCTCAAGCGTCACTAAATGTTTTTGTCACACGCTCGATGGTAGGTGTTTTACAGTAAACGTAGGCCTGCCGAGATCGGGGGTTCTTACAGCTGTTCACGGACTAACTTTGATCTGTTGCCGTAGGTTCAAGGACGCCCACAGAAAACACAGAGCATCATCATCTTAGAGTCCCATGTCATCTGCTGCACGCTGAGCACGAGCGGTGGTTTATTGCTCGAGTCTGCTTTTCGTGGGCAAGGGGGTGTCCCCTTCAGTTGTGTCATTGTCGATGAGGTCAGTGGGCGGTCGGCTGAACGACTGGGCAGCTTGTGCTGGCGTCGTGGGCTGAGCCGGGGGTTGGGGCGAGGCGCGCTGATGCGGAGACCAGGAGGAAACGGCCGTGGCGTGCCTGGTCTTCACCTGCTGTCGCGTGTGTGCGCGGTCCCTTGTGATGAGATGTGCTGCTGATGGCCCCCCACGGCTGAAGTGGTGTTTCCAGAATTGGGATTCGAGTCTGAGGGATGGCTGACTGGTCCCAGCAGATCCTTCCCAAGGAGTATCTTGGTTCTGCTTGGAATAGCTCCGGTTCCCTTTTGAAGCAGTTTTAATATAACTTTGGCCTGCTCTGAGCCACAGTATTTTCAGTTAACACCCTTTACTTGTAGTTCATTCATGGAGCAAACATTTGTTGGGTACGTACTGTTTGCCAGAAGCCAGAAGCCAGAAGCCAGAAGACATGGAAAGTGAGCTGCAGAGGATCAATCTGAGATCCGAGATCCAGCTTCACCAAAGTGAAAGGACGGGAACCGGGGAGGTGATCACATGCTTGAAGAAGGTGTCACCAAAGAGAAGCTTGAGTCGTGCAGATGACGAGGCCTCTGAGGAGCAAAGGAAGAGGGGGGTGGCAGGGAGAGGGGGACATACCTCAGGCGCGTGCCCAGCGAGAACAAAGAACACAGCACTGGGGCGTCACACTGCCCCCTGGCTCACGGCTGGGTCCCCGGTGGCCGTGGCACCCGAGCACTGCCACCTCGCAAGTGTGTGCAATGGTTTTCCTACTTGATTGTTCAAAGTATGTCTGCTGTTACGGTTTTATTTTCTAAACACAAAAATATTCTTTGTTTTCTCAGTTTATGGTATTTTTTAAATTTTAATAAAAAAAAATGGTGCTCGTCACAAGCGTACACTCAGAAATCCCGATTTTTGATACTCGGTGCAGAAGGAGAAAGTGTATGCTTTTCTGAATGTTGACCTTGTGTGAACTTGATAAACTGTACGGGAATAAAGAAACAGCAGAGATGAGTAAGAATCCCTTTTCCTTCTGTGCTTTCGTACCCAGGCTGGGCAGTCCTGTGAGGTTGAGACCCTTACTCCACTCATCCATCGTTGCAACAAGCTGGTCCTGGTCGGAGACCCTAAACAGCTTCCTCCCACGGTCATTTCCATGGTGAGTTTAACGCCCATACTGCTCTAAAGGGGGGGGCTTTTTATTTTTTGTGTTTGGAGGGAGTCTTTCTTGGGTCATCATCTCTTATTTGGAGGGAAAAGTAGGGAATGGCTACGAAGAGAGAACCCTGTTTGAATTTTAATAGGAAAAGTCTGTGAAAATGTCTTTGTTCCTAATTGTGCTTCTGTACATGTGTGACCCATGTAGAGGGAGCGTCAGAGACCAGAAAGACCCGTGTTCCGTGTGCATCAGGCTTTCTCTGTGGGAAAGGCGGTGTGCAGCTGTCTTTTTTTTTTTCTTAAATTTTTTAAATCTTTATTTTATTTTTGAGAGAGAGAGAGAAAGAGCAATTGGGGGAGGAACAGAGAGAGGGAGAGACACAGAATCGGAAGCAGGCTCCAGGCTCTGAGCTGTCAGCACAGAGCCCAACGCGGGGCTCGAACCCACGGACCACGAGATCGTGACCTGAGCCTAAGTCGGACGCTAAACCGACAGAGCCACCCGGGCACCCAGGTGTGTAGCTGTCTCAAGGGCTGTATCTGATCCGTTTTAGTAACATAAACACCAAAACTATAACACCAGAAAAATTTTAAAAGGAGAGTTTCCCAACCTCCTGATTTATATTTAAATAGTATGCAAATTTGAGTAAAACATTACAAAGAGTACTTTAAATGTACTTTTAGAGTACATTTCCAGTTTTAGAATTCTGTGTCTTGTGCAAAAAAAAAAAAAAAAAATGTGTCTCTCCCATCCTCTGAAAGTGCAGTGTCAGGAAGAGAGAAAAGGGGCTTTGAACCCTGTTTGTGGGAAGGACCAGCGCCTCGGCTGCGGCCCACTGTCTGCACTGTTCCCTCACCAAAGAGGGCTCCTAGAAGGGGCCACCAGGGTTGGCGTTCAGTAAATGTCTTGGATAATCTGAAGAGGTGTAGACCATGGCTTTGAATTTAATAGTATTTGTGTTTTTCACTAATACATTGTTTGATTATTTGTACATTATATCTATACATTAATAGATTATTTGTACCAGTCTAGAGTCCCGGCTGCATAAACAACCCCAGGGAACGGATCCTTTCCAGGCGCGTGTGTGTGTGTGCAGCTGTGGGGGGAAAGCGTGTGCTTTTCATTGTCATTACTGTGTTTTGACTCTGGCGTCATTCAGAATGCTAGTGCACCCTGTTCACACCTGTCTGAGTGAACCACCTGTGTCTGTAGGGTAGCGTTGCCGGGGATCTTGTTCGTGGAGAATAATGAAGAGCCAACCCTGTGTTGCATTTCTTTTATTTTAAAGTTTGTTTATTTTGAGAGCGAGAGAGAGCACAAGTGGGGGAGAGGGAGAGAAAGAATTCCAAGCAGGCTCTGCACTGTCAGCACAGAGCCCGATGGCGAGGCGGCCTGGTGGGGCTCGAAGTCAAGAACCATGAGATCATGACCTGAGCTGAAGTCAGGAGTTCGTTGCTTAACTGACTGAGCTCCCCAGGCGCCCTGTTGTATTTCATTTCCTTTGAATAACACGTTATTTTACAAAGTTAACTGACTTAAATTCTTGATGAGCCCCAATTTTTATTGGTGATTGATAAAAGCAACAGAAATGAGAAAAATCTGTTTGGGCTTTTCATTGTTGTTGCCACAGTAACGCGGCCTTCTTGAGAACAATTTAGAAAATAATCACAAAGTTAATTTTCTTTTTTTTTTTTTTTAAATATTTTTATTTCTAGGAGAGAGAGAGAGACAGCGTGAGCAGGGGAGGGTCAGAGAGAGAGGGAGACACAGACTCTGAAACAGGCTCCAGGCTCTGAGCTGGCAGTCAGCACAGAGCCCGACGCGGGGCTCGAACCCACGAACCGCGAGATCGTGACCCAAGCGAAAGTCGGACGCTTAACCGACTAAGCCACCCAGGCGCCCCACAAAGTTAATTTTCTTAACGTGCCTCTCGATCCACCTATATTTAAGGAGAATTGTTGTGAACAGTTAAGTAGTTCAATAGATTTTGTGGCATATTTGTGTGTGTATTTATTCACCTCTTTCCATCAGTGTTTTATTGAGTGCCCACCTAACTCAGGCACTGTTTTAGGTGCTGGTGTTAAGGCAGTGGAGAAAACGGGCAAAAATCCCTGCTTGCATTACGGAGCTTGCATCTAGGGGGTGACAGTAAATAAGTCGCTAAAATACGGTATGTCAGGTGGCTGTATAGTTTGTGTGTGATTGTGTGTACGTAGGGTTTGCTGTAAAGGGGGCAGAAGTGTTCTGTGCCAAATTGCCTTTTTTCCAGTCCATAAAGACATCAGGATTATCCTTCCGTGTCAGAACACAGAAGTGCACATCATTCTGTAGGATAGACTCCATTTGTTTTTTTGCAAGTATGGAAGTGTTATGTTTTTCTTTTTCCCCAGAGAAGATTGATAGTGAGGTTTTGGCCAGCTTGCGAAGACAGAAACTTCTGGGGATGTAGATAAAATTATTGAATGTCTGCTAATATTAAGTTACATAAACCTATTTAAAATCATGTACAGAAATAGTCTCTGATATAGGAAGTAATGCTTTTTCCCCTCACTCTCATAGTTTGTGAACTTTGCACACACCTCTTCAGTGTCCTGTCTTCAGCATCACGTGTGAAGTTCCCATCTTCACTATCCAGTGCATTCTGCAGCGTACATTTGCATCTAGGGTAGTTAAGACACAGTACTTATCTGTGTGATGTTGACGTTGAAGAGTGAATCCCAGGGTTCAACTGTGATAACATTAAGACCGTTCCCTTCATTTGTCTTTTAGGTCACTGATTTTTCAGGTTGTAACCCTGTAATGGGTTTATGAAATCAACTTAGTAATTACTGTCAGTTGTCTGTCTTCTCCTCCGGAACATCGGTTCTGTGGTGCGTGATCTAATCCACCTTAACAGTCTCAGCACTGCGACTGTAGTAACTAGGTGTATATTGGACAGACGGATGGACGGATGGATGGAGAAGTTGGTCTTTAAAAGGCTTGTTACAGTGACAGTCAATATTTCCATTTATGGGAGAGTACCCTAGAAATAATTGGTAAAATCTGTGTTACAGTTCTATTCCTTATTGGTCCTTCCTTTCTGGTGACCTCTGTTTACATCAAAATAGCTTCTGTTTGTGGCCATTTACAAGATCATGTCTTTTTCACAAGCAGTATGTGGGTTTTCTAAATAAACTTTTATAGCCAAGCTCCATGGCTTTTCCAGGGCTGGAATCAGAAACGTCCTTTCTCTGAATCTTTGCTTGTTGGTAATCTTACACCACCGAAACCTTGCCATGTACGTATCAGAGCTCAGTCAATGTTTTTATGATAGTGGGGAAAGTATAAAAGAATTTTTGGAAACGGTTCCCTACCTTCCAGAAGGCACAGGAATATGGCTACGACCAGTCAATGATGGCTCGTTTCTACAAGCTGCTGGAAGACAACGTTGAGCAAAACGTGATTGGCAGGCTGCCTGTCTTACAGCTCACTGTGCAGTACAGGATGCACCCAGACATATGTCTCTTCCCCTCTAATTATGTTTATAACAAAAGCTTGAAAACAAACAGGTGAGTTCCATTCATTCCTTTTTTTTTTTTTTTTTTTTTTTAACTTCGGGTGGGGGGCAGGGGCAGAGAGGGGGCAGGGAGAGAGAGAGAGAGAGAATGAGAATTCCAAGCAGGCTCCACCTACAAGGGTCTCGAACTCACAAACAGTGAGATGATGACCTGAGCCAAAATCAAGAGTCGAACACTTAACTAAGCCGCACAGGCTGCCTTCCATTTATTCCTTAGCTTATTGTATTTGTAGGGTGAGCTGCTTAGGAAGAGTAGCTTTTTTACTGTGTTCTTAAGTCTTGTCATAAAAAGCGTAAAACAAAGCTTTAGTGATTTTTTCTAATTAGAAAAGCCGTATTGATTTTAGCAAATGTAGGTAAAACAGAAGGGGGAAAGAGGGCCCTTACTTATGCTACCCAGAAATAATCATGCATCACATCTTGGTATATCTATTTCCAGTCTTTATGTTATGCATATATTTTTTTACTTTTTCACTTTAAAATTATTTTTTAATATTTGAGAGAGCGCACAGAGAGAGGGAGAGAGAGAATCCCAAGCAAACAGCACTCTGAGCGAGTGGAGCATGGGGTTCAGTCCCATGAACCGTGAGATCACAACTGAGCCAAAATCAAGAGCCAGATGCTTAACCAACTGAGCTACGCAGGTGCCCCCCGCCCCCCTTTTCAAATTTCTGGAAAAAAAAAAATCACACTATACTGTACATAGTACCAATCTTTGACTTATGATGGAGTTATGTCTCAATAAGCATATCATAAGTCAAAAATGCATTTATATACCTAACCTGCCCTACCAAACATCCCAGCTTAGCCCAGACTGCTTACATGTGCTCAGAACACCTTCATTATGGGGCGCCTGGGTGGCTCAGTCAGTTAAGCGTCCAACTTCAGCTCACGTCATGATCTCACAGTCTGTGGGTAGGAGCCCTGCATCGGGCTCTGTGCTGACAGCCAGCTCGGAGCCTGGAGCCTGTTTCAGATTCTGTGTCTCCGTCTCTCTCTAACCCTCCCCTGCTCACGCTGTCTGTCTCTCTCTCTCTCTCTCTCTCTCTCCTCTCTCTCTCTCCCTCTCTCCCTCTCTCTCTCTCTCTCTCTCAGAAATAAATAAAACATTAAAAAATAAATAAAAAGAACACTTACATTACCCTACAGCTGGGCAGAGTCATGTAACACAAAGCCTATTTTATGATAAAGCGTTGGATATCTCGTGTAATGTACTGATTACAGTACCAAAAGTGACAGGTGGAGTAGCTGTCAGCATAGGGGAGGTCACCCTCGTGGTCACGGAGCTGCCTGGGGGCCGTGGCTCGCTGCCCCCCAGCATCTCCTCAGCATTCAGCAGGTTGTTGGCCCAGGATGGGATCCCAGCTTAACAATTCCAAGTACGATTTGCACTGAAATGTATTGCTTTTGCACCGTGGCAAAGTTAAAAAATTGTAAGTTGAGCCATCGTAAGTCGGAGACCGTCTGTGTTCTGTGGCTTGCTCTTTTCACTCCCTGTCCCGTGAGTGCTGTTCAGTCGTGACTGTCTGCAAGCGAGCGGGCCGCTCTCCCTCGCCGACAATAGAACTAAAATCTGTGTTTTAACCTTCGACTAAAACACGTTCTGAGAAGATATCTTATCCCTGGCTTCCTCCCTGACAAATAGTAATAATAATGAAAATTTTTTCTTAAAACGTGTATTCTGAATGGTGGCTGCTTTTTCGTAGACTGACTGAAACCAATCGGTGTTCATCAGACTGGCCGTTTCAACCTTACCTCGTGTTTGATGTCGGAGATGGCTCAGAGAGACGGGATAATGAGTATGTTCTCCTCACTTGAATCCCCAGTGGTGGTCCCAGAGTTGTTATATTATTTACATTGAAAACGTTTTCCGTGTATCTCTGCCTAGTGTCAGGGCACAGCCATTCCTATGTAGCTAGGCCACTAGCTTCTCCTTTCTATTATAAATTGTTAATGTCTTTTTCTGTACATTTCACCCCTGTAATTCTTCTTAAGTCTGTAGTGGTGATCGTAATCCCTGCCGTGGTAAGCACTTGAGTAAGATGCTAAGGTCACAGCTGAGAGAACGACACCTGTGGCCCCAGTGTATGGCTGTTGTGATTGACGACGAGGGGCAGACATAACTGGGTGGTCACCAAGGTGATTCATGATTCCAGTTGCATTAATCGGTGTGAGGAAATAGAGATCCCGTGGATTCAGGTGGAAGATCCGTCCCGTTTGAGATTGTGCTTAAGGGACACGCTCCAGGTGGCCTGTGAGTGACAGAAAGGTTTGGTGACGGGTAAGCACTGAAAACTTCAAAGGAGTCAGGACTTGTTGTGAGGAGATAGAGGGTAACAGTCTGGGGGCTGCGTTTGTCAGCACAGGTCCTGTCAAGAAGTTGGGAGAACTAGAAATGCCCCCCCCCCCCGCCCCCGTGTTACCAAGAGTGACGTCCTCAGGAAGAATTAGCTAGTAAGCTACTGAGGAGTGGGGAGGGGACGTTCAGCGAAGAAGTTAGGGATCCAGAGAAGCAGTTGGCCATAAGCGTCGTGGGGGTGAAGGTCACAGAGGAGTGTTGGCCTGAGAAGTGACCAAGGACGAGGACTTCAGAGACGGATGAGGAGGCAGGCTGACCGGGTTCTCTGTAGAGTGAGTCTAGAAGTTCAGAACATGGGGATCAAAGGCCCTTAAAGTGAGACCTTCAGGCAGCACCATGTGCAGTGCAGTTGCTCCTGGAACAGGAGTGAAGGGGTGCATGTAGTTTGGGAGGTGAGCTGGGAGCGCAGGGGGAGGCCAGTTCGGACGGGAGCCTGCTCCCGGACTCCCCTGTCGTTCACCTGTGCGGCCGTGTCCTGTTCAGTCCGTGTGGACTGCGGCCCCTGGCTGTGTGTGCAAGCTCCGCGCAGCCAGTGCTGGGGAGCGAAAGAAGACGAGCCGTCTAAAGTCCTGGTCTCGGTGTGTGCACAACTGCCAGTTTTTAATTTTTTTTTAGTTTATTTTGAGAGAGACCGTGGGGGAGGGCCAGAGAGGGGGCACATCCCAAGCAGTCTCCGTGCTGTCAGTGCAGAGCTCAGTTCGGGACCTGTCCCATGACCCTGGGATCGTGACCGGAGCCAAAACCAAGAGTCAGGCACCCTAGACAGTAAATTCTTAGTGTTAGCTCTTTCCTTTTCCTGTCATCGTCACTGTCGATACTTCCGTTCTTACTGTTGCTGTCCCTGTTTTGACAGATGAAGAGATTGGTGAGTAAGCTTCAGGTGACTTCACACTCTTCCTCCTCACCACTTCCTGCTTCGCTGGGTGGTGGTATTTCTCCAGGCGTACCATGTTAATGGTCACTGTAACAGCCTCTTTGAGCCACTGATGACTGAGCAAAGGTCAAAGCTACGTGCCTGCCCTTCACTGTAGCAGAAAACAAAGTGGGACTGAAGCTGGCAGTTGGACTGCTATTAGTTTTGATGTGTTTTGTTTTGTTTTGTTTTTTTCATCTTATTTAGCTCATATATAAATGTTCAAGAAATAAAACTGGTAATGGAAATAATTAAACTTATTAAAGACAAAAGAAGGGATGTTACTTTCCGGAACATTGGCATAATAACCCATTACAAGGCCCAGAAGACGATGATTCAGAAGGATTTGGACAAAGAGTTTGATAGAAAAGGGTGAGGCATCTATATTTTTACAGATATTTCCAGGTGTTCGGTTGAATTAAAAAGAAGAAAGAGGGGATAAAAGGAAACCTACTTCTAGGGAATGGTCTCAGGCCGTGGTTAGGATAGCAGGAGACTCACGGGCTTGGGAACGCTCACACTCCCAGCTGTAGACACAGTACCTCCTGCCGTTGGGAATGTCCTCACCACCACAACTGACCGTGGGACCGACTGAGAAACCCTCCAGGCCTTTTCCTTTAGTTCCATGACCTGTTAACCTGAATTGTAACTCTAGTAAGATTCATGAAGTAACACTTGAACTTGGGAAAAAGTATTTAACCCTTTTCATGCCTTTATGTACAGGGTGAAGATCGTGTTTTTGTCTCCTTCTTACCTCAACAATAAAATTAAAGAGTAATTATTGGAAAGCCATTAACTCAAAAAATTTCTTAACCTAGAAACACATGAGCTTACCAAAATTGGCTCTAGAAAAAATAGAAAATTTGAACAGAACTGTAAAAAGAGATGGAGTTAGTGATCAAACAGTTTCCAACAAAGAAAAACCCAGGACCAGGCTTCACTGGTGAATTCTACCAGACATTAAGATAAGAATTAACACCAGTCCTTCTCAGGCTCTTCCAAAAAAAAAAAAAAAAAAAAAAATAGAAGAGGAGGAAAGACTTTCTAACTCATTTTATGAGGCCAATATTATCGTTAATACCAGAGCCACGGAAAACATCACAAGAAGAGAGAAACTACAGGCCAGTATCCCTTATGAATATGGATGTAAAAATCCTCAACAAAATAATGGGAACTGAATTCAGCCGCATATTAAAAGGATTATACACCAGGACCATAGTGGGATTATCTCAGGAATGCAAGGTTGGTTCAACATACAAAAATCAATCTATGTGACCTACCATACTAATAGAATAAAGGGAGGAAACCCACATGATCATCTGAAGAGATGTAGAAAGAGCATTTGATTAAATCCAACACCCTTTCATGATAAAAACACTCAACAGACTAGGAATAGAAAGGAACTTCCTCAGACTAATCAGAGGCTTCCGTGATGTCACACTTATGGTCAGACTGAGTGCCACGTCCCTGCGATCAGGAACTGTTAGAGGTCCTAAGCAGGGCAGTTGAGCAAGAAAAAGAAATTAAAGGCATTCTTTACTTGGTAAGAGAAGTAAAACTATCCCTTTTCATAGTTGGCAGGACCTACTATGTAGAAAACCCTAAAAAATCCACATAAGCTCTGCATTCTAACAGACGAGTTCAGCCAAATTGTAGCTGCAAGATCAGCATATGCGTGTGTATACAGTAGCAACGGGCCATCTGACAAGGAAATGTAAAAAATAATTCTGTTTATAATGGACTCAAAACGAACAGAATATTTAGGAATAAAAAGTGTAAAACGTGTACATTTAAGAAGTACAAAATGTTGAAAGCAGTTAACTCGTAAGTAAGTGGAAAGACATTCTGTGTCCATGGATCAGAAGACTTCGTGTTGTGAAGGGGGGACTTCACCCAGAGGGATCGCCAAATTCCCCCTCAATTCTGCTATCTCTGCCAGAATTCCAGCTGCCCGTTGTACAGAAGCGGACATGCTGAACCTAAAATTCACAAGGAAATGCAAGGCACCCCAAATATATTGAAAAAGAACAGTTAGAGGGCTCATGCTTTCCTATTTCAAAACGTACTACAGAGCTAGTTATCAGAACTGGTACTGTCTTAAGGATAGACCTATAAACCAGTAGAATAGAACTGGGTGTTCGGAAATAAACCCGTGCATTTATGGCCAGTTGGTTTTCAATGGGGGGGCGGGGGGGGGCGGGGGCAGTCCATTCAGTGGGGAAATAAAATGTTGCTGGGTCAGCTAGCTCTCCACATACAAGAGAATGTATTTTGACTCTTGTCTCACATCCTATAATGAACTCAAAGTGGATTAGAGCACTAAATCTAAGAGATAAAATTATAAAACTTGAAACAAAGGTAATGTATCTTTCTGACCTCAGAATAAACAGTTTTCCAGTGTGATACCCAGGCACAAGTTACCAAAGAAAGAATAGATAAATTGGACTTTGTGTGTCAAAGTACACTACCACAAAAGGGAAAAGCCAGCCCACAGTGGGAGAAAATATGGATGGTTCCTGACTTACCATGGTTTGACTTAGAATTTTTCAGCTTTCTGACGGTGTGAAAGCAACACACGTTCAGTAGAAGCTGTACTTTAGGTTTTGGATTTGGGTTTTTTCCCGGGGAGCAGTGTGCAGTATGATCCTGTCTCCCCCGGTCAGCCCTGCAGTCACGAGGGCTAACGATGGCACAGCCGTTCTGTACCTGTCTCGGTGCAGCAGTCAATAAATTACATAAGACGCTCAGCACTGTATTATGACGTGGGCTTTGCCCAACTGTAGGCGAATGTGAGTGTTCTTAGCCTGTGTGAGGTTGGCTAGGCTACGCTACAATGTTCGGTCAGTTAAGTGTAACAAATGCATTTTCAAACTCAGATATCTGAGGGTTTTGTTGGTGGGTTTTACTGGGATGTGACTCCATCCTAAGTCAAGGGAAATCTGCACCTGCATATCCCGTATCTGATGAGTCTCCTATCTGGAGTATAGAAAGAACTCGGTAATAAAAAGTTAATCTGATTTTTTAATGGGCAAAGGCTTTGAATGGCATTTCTTAAAAGAAGATTGTGAACAAATGGTCAGCAAGCACGTGAAAGATGTCGCACATCGCTTGTCACTAGGGAAATGCACATCCAAGGCACAGTGAGATACCCTTTCACCCACCTAAGTGACTATAATAATAATAGTAACAAACAGACAATAACAGAGTTTGAGCAAGCACGTTGAGACATTGGAGCTGGCGCGAGTGTAAAATGGTAGATCACTGTGGAAAAACAGTCTGGCAAGTCCTCAAAAAGTTAAGCGTAGAATTACCATATGACCAAGCAGCTTCCCTCCTAAGCCTGTACCTGAAAGAACTGAGAAGATGTTAGCATGAACTCTGGTACCGAACATTCACAGTACCATTACTTGTAGAGGGCAAAAAAGGGCAAAACAACCAAACGTCCTCCGCCGTGAATGGATCGATCGTGGTATATCCGTACAAATTCTCAGCCCTAAAGGATGAGGTCCTGGTACAGGCGACAGCAGGGCAGAGCCCTGGAAACGTTCTAAGTGAACGAAGCCGAGCGCGAAAGGCCACATATTTGATGATTCTGTTGGTATGAAGTTACCAGACAGAGAGTAGGTTGGTGTTGCCAGGCCTGGCGAGAGGGAGGAATTGGGAGTAGCCGGGCGCTCACAGGCACAAGTGACGGAAGTGTGGTTGTGGAAGTAGATGGTGGTGGTGGTCGAACAACACAGTGGGTTGCAAAAACCACGGAATGCTGTGAGTTCTATGCTCCGTGAATCATACTTCAGTAAAAAAAAAAAAAAACCAAAAAAACGGTGAAAAAAGCTTTTGAAAAACACTGCAGTGTAAGTGTGTAGATTTAATAATGAGCTTCCTTTTTCCAACGAGCCTGTTTCTCTTTTGTAAACAGGCCAGCGGAAGTAGATACCGTGGACGCATTCCAGGGCCGCCAGAAAGATTGTGTTATTGTCACGTGTGTCAGAGCGAATGCCATGCAAGGCTCAATTGGGTGAGTAACTGTCCTTATTGCCTTTTTACTTGTCTGTGATCTCGAGCCAGGTCCGTTTGCGATCACTGTTGGAGAACACCGTCATTTGCGTTCTTTGCCTTTATAGAAACGCGTGTAACATCATGGTTTCCCTTTTTCAGTCGTGAGGTCGATCTGCCGTCAGGTCTGCTTCTCTTCGTACCTCGTGTGTTAACCTGTGTCCCAGTGGCAGTCTGTTCTTCACCTCCGAAGAGTGGCCTAGATCTTGGATTGGGGTGGCGGGGGTGGGGGTTGGTTTGCAGGGGGCCTGTTCCTCTCCAGGATGGGTCATGGAGTGGTTTTTCATCTTCGCTGCATTTCATGCTTTGGCCAAGTTTGTTAGCCTTAACTCCTGTCGGTTTACTCACTAAAGGTGCCAAGGACGGTGTAAAGGTTCACAGAAAACTCCCCTGGGTCTCGGAGGCCTGGGAGGCCTATGTCATTATTTTTTCCTTCTCTTGGGGAGCAGATGAATTTCCAGATTATAAATACGTTTACTTGTTCTGAAAGAAAACAGTAACGTAAATAATGGTAATGTAAGTTCTCCCTGCCCTGTTCGGAGAGAGTCTCCGCATACGCACGGAGGCCTCTCTGGACCATCCTGCGAGTGGTCTGCGCGCTCCCAGCTACTGGAAGGTTCACCTTGTTCTCACAGCAGCTCTGTCCCTGCTGAGCCCCTGCATCTGTTGCTACATTTGTCTGAGATTCATGTGTTTCTGCACTGGCTCTACAGCATTTCAAAGATTTCAGATATATTTAAATTAAGAATAACTGGTCTAGGGACACCTGGGTGGCTCAGTCTGAAGCATCCGACGCTACATCCCAGTTCAGGTCTCGATCACAGTCAGGGTCCTGAGCTCCAGCCCCGTGTTGGGCTCCGCGCTGGGTGTGAAGCTTACTAAAGAAAAGGTTTTTTTAAGTTTTAAAAATAATAACGGATCTAGTATCATATTTTCAGGATGTTTCTAAGGCTTAAGAATGACACTGCGAAAATTGCCAGTATCTCCTCCGAGTTAGGAGATTAATGCATCGCTTGGGAGGGAGAGCTCCAGATATTTTGTTGATTGTTTTTGACAGGAGTCCCTTCTTTGCCAGGGCCCCCGAGTCGGGGGAAAAGGAGAAAACCGTGTAACATTAAAAGGGGAGAAGGAGGCCCAAGAAAAGCTGTTTGGAGGAGTGCCTGTGGCTCACCTGCACTTATATGCTAAGTCATTCTGCAGAGAGAAGTAACTTTTTTTTTTATCACTTAGATTTCTGGCAAGTTTGCAAAGATTGAATGTCACCATCACGCGAGCCAAGTACAGCCTCTTCATCCTGGGACATTTAAGGACCTTGATGGTAGGTGCATTCTCAGGACCAGGGGACTCCGGAGTCTGCCCTTCACCACTGATGCTGGCTCAAGGCTTCGTTTTTATTTTCCATCAAAATGGGAGTGACTGCAGGGCTGCAGAGTAATGAGCCCCTTCCCTTCCCCCTGGCGGTTCTGTGCTTGAGCAGCTTCCACCTGGGTGCTGACCACTCCCCCGGCCCCAGTCCAAGGCCCACGTAACCACGGCCTGCTCTCTAGATGACCTTTTAAAACAAAAAAGTAAAACAAAAATCTCACATCCTAGGACCTTTGAGGTCGTAAATTCATACATAAAGTGCTTGGGTAGTCACCTGGCTCATCTGGCTCTTCCCAGCCCAGCTTAAGGCCGCCTCTTTCCCGCATATCCCTGGTTCTGTGTTTCCACAGTGGGGGCCCTGGCAGAGCCCCTCGAGGAGAGGTGGCAGTTTTGCGTCTGTCCGTAGTAGAGCACGGCCTCATTCAGTGATGTCACGGCCCGGGAAAGCAGGTGCTGCCCATCTCCTTAGGGGTAATAACTTCGGAGTTTTCTGATTTCTGTGTCTCACACAGCCGTCGGCTATCTTAGGAGAAAAGCCAACTCATGAGATTTTTGTTCACTGTTTTCTCCCTGCTTTCCGGTTTAGTACCACCAGAGGGCATTCCAACACAGTCCTGTCCACACACGTCTGCCCTGCGTCTGTGGCCTTCCACTTTTTCTTGCTTGGGTGCCCCGGGGAAAGAATTTTTAAAAACTGCATACCACCTGTGTTTAAGCCGATACTAAAAACTTGTTAGAAGTTTAAGCACTGCTGAAGATTTTGTTTCTCACGTATTGTAAGTATTGGCGTTGTACATATAAGTTATAGGCTTTCCGGCCAGAGCCGGGAGTTCTTCTTCTAAGTGGTTTATTGACTAAAAGTCCAGGGGTTGTGGTTGCCGAGCCCTGAATTCCTCTAGGATTAGGTACTTGTAAAATGCTACCTGGCCAGTAGGCACCCCAAATTGAGAAATGGTAAAATGTGAACACTGTGTGCATTTCAGAGTCAGTTACATAAAACACGATTCCTGTTTTACAGATGAGGAAACAGGCTCAGGGAGGTGCAGTTGACCAAGGTCACGCAGCAAGTGAATATTGCTGCCCCTCCCCCGCCGTTATGACGGGGACGGGAACCCCTGTGAGGACAGCTGTGGTCCTGGCCTCCCCCTCCCTCTCGCCTCCCCCCTCCCCCTGCCCTCTCCCCTCCTCCTCTTCTCTGCTTACTCCTCCTCCTCCTGTTCCTCCTCTTTCCTTCAGGCCTTTTTGTATTTTTTCCTCCCATGCTCACTCCTCTTTCTGAGGAAGCCCGAGTTCTGATGGTTGTGAAGCAGTTTATTGCCGAGCAAAGTCTAGGGAAGACAGGAGAGACGCGTGCCAGTGTTTTGCCTCCTTAGGTGTGTGCATCCCATAACGTAAGCTCCTCCAGGAAGGAGACGGCAGGAAGTCTGAGGAGTAGTTGTCTCAGCGGATGAAGATGGTTTGGCTCTTTGGAGACTGGGAGGCCTTTGAGAATTCAGTGGCAGCTGTGGGCCTCGGTCTAGCGTGGTCACATGCGCCCAGACGTTAGGGCTTTCTGAAACCACGCCTTCCCGCTGCAGCGTGTTAGGGTTCCGAGAGGCAGGCGAGACTCTGGGTCAACAGTGTCCAAGGGAACTTGCTGGGATGACAGCTGTCCGTGCCCACACCGTCCGTCCGGCACGCTCACTACGAGGCACGTGTGGCCACCGAGCCCTTGAGACGCGGCTGCTGCAGCCGAGGAAATAACATTGTTTACTTACTTTAATTAATTGAAGTGTAAGTGACTCCTTGTGGCCGCTGGCAGCTGGTGGCAGCCTGCGTAGCAGCCGGTGACCACACGGCACGAGTCACGCAGTAGAAGGGGGGACGTTTCGTACAGGTGGTGACCAGTGCCCTTTTCTGCTAACGTGGCTTCTTTCTGCATCTGCACTTACCTTTCCTTGAATGGATTCTGGAGAATCTGTTCATGAAGCGTGTAGGTTGTTACTCAGAAATGAAAGCAGAAACCTCCTGCTTCCCAAGCACATGAGCGCTTTTGGGGCGTAATTGTCTCTCCCTTCTCTGTTTGAAGGAAAACCAGCACTGGAACCAGCTGATTCAGGACGCGCAGAAGCGGGGCGCCATTATCAAGACGTGCGACAAAAACTACAGGCATGACGCAGCCAAGATTCTGAAACTCAAGCCCGTGCTGCAGAGGAGCCTGACGCAGCCTCCCACCGGGGCCCCGGAGATGGCCTGGCCCCAGGGCGGCCTGCCCGGCAGCAAGCCAGACGGTGAGTTTGCCAGGACGTCGTCCCCTTCTTCCCTGTATCACGTGCCCTCTGACAGCAAGGAGTCCGCCGGCACCGTTACCGCAAAGGACCCGGAAAGACCTCCTATTCAGGACCGGCTTCGGGACCCACGACTGCTCAGGAGGCTGGGCCTAGACCCTGAAGCCAAAGGGACATGCCCGTGGGATCCACAGCCCCTGAGCCCCCAGCACCCCGGAGCCACCCCTCCCCTGGGAGAGCCAGGCTTCCCCTCGAGTCACCAGGACCTGGGCGGGGCCCAGCCACCCGCTGCCAGAGGGGCCGCGCTGGGCACCCACAAACCTCCCGTGCAGCGGGAGCCTCCGGCTGCCGGCACGGAAGCGTCTGCGAGTAAAAGGACCTATGACTGGGAAGGAGGCGTCAGCCACAGGAGGGAGACCAGGGCTTTCAGTGAAGGGGACCAGGAGCTGCAGAGCCCTGAGAGGCGTCACGTGAGGAGGCACTCTGGCTGGGACCACAGGAGACTGGAGGGAGACGACGGTGGTTCCAAGAAAAGAAGGTTCTTATAGGAAAGCCAAGTGGCAGACGGTCAGCCCCAGCACCGTCGCAGACTGGAGGTGACCCGCTGATGGGACCGTCAAGCTCAGATTATCTTTCCCCTTAAGGGAGTCTGTGTGCTGTTGGCCAACATGGAGAACGCATCCTAAGCCCCGAGCCTCCTGGTCATCTTCGATCTATTTTGTCAACCACCAGAGCTTTCGAGGCCATTTGTGCGTCCCTTATATCGTCCTTGAAGACCTAAAATGTCGGTCTCTTGTTCTGTAGATAAGGGGTCAGCCTGGAGTAGATGTTGTAAAAATTGCAGTGTACATTTGTATAGCGAATAACAAAAACCTTTTAAAATGTAATCTAGTAGACCGTTTTTCTTTCCCCTGCTTAAAATGTTAATCCTTTTCAACAGAAGAAACTTTATATTTAAAAAAAAAGGGGGGGGGGTGAGAGGAGGAGGGGGCGGGCCCTTTCACACACTGTCCTGGCAGGACAGACGTCTCCAGCAGCCTGGCGCATGTGCGACAGGCTGACTGAAGGCCGGTGGGTCACATGTCTCTAGTTCTATTTAAAAAAAACCAGTGGAGTCTCCTGGGGAACCTTCGGGAAGCAGAGCCATGTTAGGTGAAGCTCTCCTGATGTTGGGCATTTTTAGGTGAGCACAGGATGTTCCGTTTCTCCGCAGAGTCCGTCTACCTATTTCAGTGGGCATGTGGCTTTCCAGCTAAAATCCTGGTGCCCCTTAAAATAGAAGACTATGAAATGAGAGAAAAATTGTTAAGATACCATTCAGATGCCCCCCAGCGTATGGTGAGCCTCCTGAAGCCGGCAGGTTGCAAGTCCAGTGGCCCCCAGGTGCTGGGTCAGTGCAGGGGGGCCCCTGGAAGAGCCCCCCAGGAGGCCTGGGTGTGAAGGCTGGCCGGGTGCGCGGTGGGGAGAGCGGAGGTGCGTGTGAAACAGCGTCCCCCCCCCCCCCCCCACCAAGGGTCCTGGTCACTGGCCAGGCTGGTGAGGGCCGCGGGCAGGGAAGGAGCGCCCTCCAACAGGAGACGGTAGAGTGGAGTGCGGACGGCGTCCTGCCGTCTCTGGCGCCGCTGCCGTACCTGTCGCGGTCCCCGGCTGCTGCAGGGCCATCTGAGGAGAGGGCATGGCGCCCTTGAGGGGCGTGGCGTGGCCATCCGACAGTTAAGCGAAGCGCACAAGGGAGGGGCTGTCAGACCCAGTGGTTCGCAGCGACCGCTAGGCCCCCCAGCCCGTTAGCCACTTTGGGGGGGAGAACGGACCCCTGAAGACGCCTTTACCAATGCTGCCGTCTGCTTTTTAGCGAAGGGGGCCTTGTGTCAGAACTTCTACTGAAGCCGGTTATTTAAAGCTTTGAAACTACATTGGAGTGCCGGAAGTCTTAAACCTTCCACTTCCGTGACCCCACGTCCCGCCCAGCGGGGTCGGGACGTCTGCTGGCGTTGGGCAACACCCCTGGCGCGGGGCACGCGCTCTGTCCCGTCTGTGGGCAGAACACTCGTCCTTGGCCAGGCGGTGTAAGAACGGGCAGGGTGTGGGGTGCGGGGCGAGCCCCCCCCTTTCGGGGTCAGAGGCTCTGGAAGCTTCCTGCACACGCCTTTGGCACGAAACCTCCATGTTAGTTTGAGGTGACTTTGCTCGTATCTCGGGAAGACGGCTCATGGAGCAGGTGCTTGGTGGTGAGAACTCGGGAGGCTCCTAGGAGGCCTCCCCCGCTGGGGCTCCCCCTGCTGGTGCGGCACCACGGCAACTAGGAGAGAGGTGCTCCCGGGCCAAACCCAGGCGGTGCTCTCTCTCCCGGGTCCCGTGTAACGCCCGTCCCCGCGCCGCGTGCTTCTGTGGTTCTCTCCCACCCGGCCCGTGTCCTGACCGCCTCTCCCCGGGCACACAGTCCCGCCGGACCCTGCATTTGAAACGATTCGTTGTTCTGGTTGGTAAACATGTTGGCATAAATCCTTTCGTATGGCTTGTTCTCACGGAGTGAAAAATACGGCTGTTTTCTTCGTCCTCGCCATGGCCTTAGAAGAAAGTGCCCTGTTTTCTTTGCATATTAGTTCTTCCGACATGAATATGTCCTCCTCAAAAACTTGTTTGGCCTCTTTGTATATAATTTTCTTGGGATTTTCTGTGCATGGTTTATTTGGTTAGTATGTTTTCATGTATTACCAGGAGCAAATTTGATAAGTACATGTGAATAACCTCCTGTAAATGAATTTTATAACAAAAACGTACTAAACTATTTTCTGAAATTGGCTGTGAAGGTGATAATTTTTGGCTTTCTGATGCTCTGAACTCATAGCCGGGATTCGGGGAACAGTAGCCCTCAGGTCTTTGTGAAAACACACATTTACAGGGAAAATGGTAAGATTAAACGTGGAAACAAGAAAACTGGCCTGAGTTAGGAGCTGCATGGGACGGGATCAGGTGCGGGGTACTAAGCAGCCCGCTTCGGGTTGCTTGATTCATCTTACGCAGAAATTATTTTGGGGGTGGGGGGCGGGTGTTTGCTTTATGCAGGTCGGTTCTCCAGCCCCCTGCCCCCACCCCGGCTCTGTGTGAAATCCCAGCCGTGAGCTCACAAGGTGTGTCGTGACCATACACGGTGGCCGGTCATATTTTGAGGCTTGATCTGACAAAAGAGCACACTCTTTAGGCTGAGACCCAGGAGGGCGGGAGAGGCTGGGCGGGCATGAGCGGAACCGTCAGAGGCATGATGGGGGCCAGGGTGCAGACGTCCAAGTCGGAGTGACTGCCGATGACTGCGGAAGTGGGGCACGTTCACAGAAGCAGTAGCTTCGGGGAGCGTCATCAGGCTTGGCCAAGCCGCCTGTTCAAGGGCACTCGCTCATTCCAGATGCACACAAGTCACCCGGCAAGGGCGAAATGACACATGGGGATTTAGGGGGCACCCCAGATCTGCCAAGTGACCTGGTGAGCGAACTGGTGAGGGCTCTGATGGCCCTTTCGCTTGTGGAACTCATTACTGTGACATCTGTAGTGGCGGTTTTTAAAGTCACTCCTGACCAAGTCATCCACACAGTCCCTGCCACCTCCCGGGTGTCCCCATTCATTCTTCGAGGAATAAATAATTCAGGAAGGAAACCAAAATGTAGGCTCAGCGTCTGTGGAATTTATGGGTTGTGCAGGACCGCAGCAGCAGCTTCTGTACCCCAGGGATCCCTCCGTAACCCTTAAAGGACCTGAGTTACTGTCCCCCCGTCCTGCTGGTCAGAGGCGTCTGCCACATCGGATGGCCTAAACGGTGTCCGTAGACAGATGGGGTGTTGGAGCGCCGGGAGGCCGGCTGCGTGCCCCGCGCCCCACAGCACAAGCAGGGCTGTGCTGGCAGAGACCCCGTTGCTCTGTTTCTCACCACCCCTGCTGCAGACAGAATTGTTAACACGCAGTTTTCACCCTGGGGTGCGGCACCCACCTGGGAGCTTCTGAAAATTCCACTCCCGGGCTCCTCCCTAGAATTTTTTTAATAAAAAAAATTCTTTATTTTTGAGAGAGAGAGAAACCGAGTATGAGCAGGGCAGGGGCAGAGAGAGAGGGAGAGACACAGAATCGGAAGCTGCTCCAGGCTCCGAGCTGTCAGCACAGAGCCCGACGCGGGGCTCAAACCCATGAACCACGAGATCATGACCTGAGCCGAAGTTGGACGCTTGACTTGAACCCAAGTTGGATGCTCAACCGACTGAGCCCCCCCAGGCGTCCCAATTTTTTAAAAATTTTTAATGTTTATTTTTTGAGAGTGGTCGCACATGAGTGGGGGAGGGGCAGAGAGAGACAGAGACTGAGCAGGTGCCCCCTCTGGGGACTCTAAGGGCACTAACGCCACTCATGAGCTTCCATCCTCATGACCTAGTCACCTGCCAAAGGCCCCACCCCCTCAAACCATCACCCTGGGGGTGAGGATGTCAGCGTATGAATGGAGCAGAGGGGGACACAACCATCCAGTCAGTCGTAGTTCGTCAGTTGTCACCTTGTGTAGGCAGAACCCCCTGTGTGTTTTCTTTAGGACGGGCCACGGGAGAGACAGCGTGAGCTTTGCGGCCAGAAAAGCAGCACGCGCTCTGGAGGTTGGGGTAGACACAAACCACTTACTGCTGGCTTGTTGGCGTGGGGTCTGCACCTGTTAGGTCCCCTTCCTGGGTCCCTGCTGCGCTTCTCCAGCGCCTGGGCCAGGTGGGGGTTCGGCTCCGTGACAGAGGGCCCCAGCTTCTCCTGAGGGACACCCCGTCTCCAGAATTGCAGGCAGATTCTCGCGGATTCCTGCTTGCCTTCCCCCTCCCACTTTACGTGCATCTTCCTTCCTGACGGCCGCCTGCAGACGTCAAGCTCCAGCATGAGGCCTGAAGACTGTGTGAGCCAAATGCGGGCCCCAGGCCCCCCGGGTCAGTGCTTTCCTGCCGGACGAATGGGGTATAAAGAAGACGCACAGCGTTAGGCTGTGAACGATAACGCAGACATTCTAGCTTGGGAGGCAGAGAAGGCTGCAAGCTTAGGAAGGGAGTAGAAGTAAAATCTGGAAGCCCCAGTGAAGAAAGAGCATGATTAGCTCTGAGAACCCCGAGGCAGGAGCTGGCAAGGAGGCGGAGGGGCCTGGCTAAGGGCGGCCTGGTCCTGCACGTCCCTTTCCGGCCGGTGAGTGGTCAGGTCTTCCCCTAAGAGCAGTAGGGAGCCCTTGAAGGTTGTTAAGCCACTTAAATGCTTTAATGGGAACACCCCCATATCTAATACCCTCCCTCCAGGGGATCACGGGGGACGGAGACTGATCCGATAGCACCGGCCACGTTACAAGCCACATTACAGCCAGCAGCAAGGGAGCGGTTAAGGCTGGTACCTCCCCAGGGCAGAGTGACACCTCCCTCAATATAGTTTTCGGTTGTTTTCATCAACATGGAAAAGGTTCACAATATTGTAAGAGGTGGTTATATTTTTATTCTGTGTGTGTGTGTGTGTGTGTGTGTGTGTGTGTATACATAGATAATAGATTGATTTTTTAATAGAAAAAAAAAATACCTAAAAGGACTAACATGTTTAACAAGGGTTAGGTAGTTAGGTTGGGTTTTTTCCCAAAGTTTATTTATTTATTTAAAAAATTTTGTAAATATTTTATGTATTTCTGAGCGCGAGAGAGAGATAGTGTGAGCAGGGGAGGATCAGAGAGAGAGGGAGACAGAATCTGAAGCAGCTCCAGGCTCTGAGCTGTCAGCACAGAGCCCAACGCGGGGCCCGAACCCACGAACTGTGAGATCGTGACCTAAGCTGAAGTCGGACGCTCAACCGACTGAGCCCCCCAGGCGCCCCCAAAGTTTATTTATTTTGAGAGAAA